TGTATTCTACGATTGCTTTACTTTCCTACTTTCTATATATTGCTGTATGCTTGTCTCTTTAATTGGTCACTTGCTCTCACATACTAGTGCAAGGGTTCAACTACTCCAACTTCCGCTGCACTACTTAAGCATCTCTTATAACTGGGACTCAGTCTCTGGAAAGATCCTAAGGGCTTTTCTCAGCCCAACATACCCGTTGATCCAACGCGGGTCATGCTGGATCAGTCACGTGCCCAAACCGTAACACCAACAAAGTCCTCGTAAATCAGGTGGATTCGCGCACTTCGTTCCGCCTAGTGTTTCGCTGCCATGTTTTCGCTAACGTGTTTCGCTCCGTCGTGATGCCATCCAGCGAATTTCAGCCCAAGCATGCGGGTGCACCCCACTGTCCATCTTCACGTACGTTACCCTGTCCTGCGCTTCGTGAATGTTCAGCATTCGCTGGTCGAGTTGAGGTGGGGGAGTTGGGTCTTGGGATTCCCTAGACTGGACCCACCTGCACTCACCTTTCTGAATCGAATTTCGCGTGCCACGTCACGTAGATTCCTGAAATCACCTTAGAGAGGATCCGAAATGTCTACTTTCCAGCTCGTTGGCGGGATGGCAGGCTGGGTCATTCATAGTCGTTAGATCTGGTTCCACGTGGTTCTCATCTGAACAGACGACCTTGCACGGAATCCCAAGCTGGGGCAGCCTCTCTCATTAACCGACCACAGCGCCCAACACTTCGCACGGGTGTGATGTCAAGCCTCACCCTACGGCTAAGGCATCGACATCCCGCCCTCTCGCTCACAGCATTACCTTGTCTCCTCCTCCGTCCTGACTCTCTCGCGCCGTTATCATACTTTCGTGGAGCTCAGAAGGCTTTGAAGGCCGATCGAGCAGGTGAGTGGGCTGCGTTGCAGAGACGAGCCGTCGTCGTCATTATTTTTATTTTGCCAGAAGAAGGGTACAGTCTGATTGGTGGGCCATCCGATGGCAAAACGAGTCGTTGCCACAGAGTCAAAGACGAGAGAGAGGATCAGAGCTAGGGCTATCAGGGCTAGGGCTATCAGGGTGTTTGCTCGTTCTTGACTGACATCACAGTGTCTTCTCCCTCCAAGCTCGGAGTTTTATTCATACGACAACCATATCGTAAAAAACCTTCTAGTCGCATCCCCATCTCCGCCCCAGTCCCCGCTCTCCACTCTCTCTCGTTATGAGTTCACCCTCTCTGTTTCGTTTAGAAGCCCCTTGTTGGCCCTCTCGCCCGTCGCACTCTTCCCCCTGCCCCGTTTCACCCTGCCTGGTTTCACCCTGCCCACCTGCTCTCCGTTCCCTGCTCCCCGTTATGCTCTCCTCTCTCTATCTATCCCGTTCCTCCCTCTCTACCCCCGTTCCCCTATTTTCTGCCCTCAATCCGTGCCTCTTTTCCCCTCGCCACCTCGTCCTCTCTACTACCCCTATCTTCCTCCCCCTCTCTGCTCCGTTCCCCTCTCTCCGCCGTCCCTCTCTCTCCCACTTTCCCCTCTTCTGCTGGGTCTTTTCAGTTTTACTTTCACTCCGTGCCCCTTTCCCCTTTTCTGCTTCTTTCCCCCTCTCTGCTCTTTCCCCCATATGCAGTGTTCTTGTTCTTGTATCACATTCCGCAATGGAGGAGTTCCAGTTGGGAGAGGCGGTTTGGGTCGTTTCGGACAACGGCTACTCATGCCCGGGGCAGATTGTGGGATTTAAGGACAACCGAGTGGGAGTGAGGCTTTTGCGGTATAGGGTGAGTCCAAAGGCGAAGAGGGAAAAGGGGTGAAGGGAGGAAGCGGGAGTAGAGGTTGGTGGAATGGGGGGCATATATCAATCAAACAGTACGTCGGCTTCTGCATAGTGTTTCACCTTGTTTGTGCTCTTTCCGTGTCTCTGTTCGGGCCATGTCGTCGCCAGCACACTGAGCCGTCACAAAGAAAAGCAGTCGATTGAAGGGACTGGAACCTGAAACAGAGAAGTGGGAGGAAGAATTACGTGATAGAGCTAGCAAGGCTCGCTCTCTCTCCCCCCCCTCTGTCACGAGAGCTAGGTAGCTAGGAAGCCATGAAAATGGCGAGAGAGTTTAGCTAGGAGAAAGTTTATGAGAGAAAAAACAGAGAGACGAGATTAGAAGAGAGAGGGATACAAGGAGGGGTTTGTACCCTCTACAGTAGGTTTCAGTAAGACCTACCAAGCCTACAATTATATATAACATCTATATAATTTAACACACCCTCTAGGCTTGGTAGTTTCAAGCCCACCCAACACCCAACACCCCCAAGCCCGTGCAACCCCATGTCCTGCAGCAGGTGGTGCTTTGACCCTTCGTGCAAAGCGGTGACACCCCGGGCGGGTGGCAGCAACGGCGTCAGCGGCGGCGGCGGCGGCGTGCAGCGGCAAGAAGGCCAGCGGCACCAGCGGCGGCGGCGGCGGCGGCGGCGGCTTCGGCGACAACGGCGGCTCCGGCGAGACCCGCGGCACTCGGCGGCGTGGCACGACCCGGCGACGACTGGGTAGGAAGGCATCAGCTGCTGCTGGAACAAAAAGGAGTGGCAGGGGCGGGGGGGGGGGGGGGGGGGGGGGGGGGGGGGCTGGCGTGCGGGCGAGCCGGCTGGCGCCTAACACGGTGCACGGCCCGCTGCCGCTCGTGCGCTGACGCGGCAACGACGCCACGGCAGCGTGTCGAGGCTGCCACGGCGGCACAGCGACGCCGCCAGGGCAGCCCGACGCGGTGACGACGCCGCCACAGCAGTACAACAAAGCCGCCATAGTGGCGCGAGAGAGCGAGGAGGAGTGCGCGGTGGAAGCGAGAGAAGACAGTCCAGTACGATGAACCTGCTCTGTTACCATGTCACGAGAGCTAGGTAGCTAGGAAGCCATGAAAATGGCGAGAGGGTTTAGCTAGGAGAAAGTTGACAAGAGATAGAGAAAAAAAGAGACAAGATTAGAAGAGAGGGATACAAGGAGGGAGTTGTACCCTCTATACTAGGTTTCAATAATACATACCAAGCCTATAATTATATATAACATATATATAATTTAACACCCTCCTTCCTTCCTCCATTCCTTTGCCGCTCCCCTCCTTTCCCTTGTGTGGCAGAGTGACATGATGATCCTTTTTCAAACCGATATCAATATACGAGTACGAGCCGAGGATGACAAAGATCTTCACGTGCCGGCGGCCTGTTAATGTAAGTCCTTTTCTGTGGAGCATAGCTTAGCTCATGTGCATGCGATTTTTTATTGCATGTGCATACCGCGCTCATGCATGCTACAGTTACTCATTCGTGCTTGCACGGCAAGCATTTTCTGTGTGAGTGCGATGCACACACTTGCTTTGCCTTGCTCATGAACGTTTTTATTACTTTCCTGTGCAGGACTTTGCGGACCTACTTCCTGCCATGAAGGATGCCCAGCGCATTCGTCTGAACGGGAAGCGGATGAGATAATGGCTAGTGCCTGAGCAAGGAAGCAAGGGAGAGAATGAAACAGGAAGGGGTAAGAGGGCACAGGTGGCGGTGGGCACACACGCACAGGTGGAGGTGGGTGCATCGAATGGGGAGGGTGCTAAATTATATATTTTGTTATATAATTGGTAGGCTTGGTAGGTATTATTGCAACCAACTGTAGAGGGTACAATCCCCCTCCTTGTATGCCTCTCTCTTCTATTCTCCCTCTCTTTTTCTCTCGTCAACTCTCTCCTAGCTAAACCCTCACGCCATTTCCATGGCCGCCTACCCTTCCTAGCACCTAGCTTTTATGACATGGTAACAGAGCACGTTGCCCTTCCTGGACCTGCTCCCTGCTCTTCCGCCGCGCACCCCTCCTCTCCCTCTCGTGCTGCATCGACGTCCAGCCATGGCGGCGTCGTCGACGTCAAGCCGTGGCGCCGTGACGTCGCTGCCGACCTGCCGTCGCCGCGTCGACGTACCGCCGCGGCATCGACGCCGCGCTGTGGCGGTGTCGTAAGAATGTCGTGGCGGCGTCTCGGGCTGCAGCCGGCCGTGTGACACCTGTGGCGCCGCTAGACCTGCCGCCCGCACGCCAACCGCAAGCGTGATGCTGGACCACGCATCCCCCCCCCCCCTCCTTCCCCTGCGTCCCCTCCTCCTCGCCACAGCCGACGCCTAACTCGTTGGGGTCCCCATCGCCGCGGAGATTGGCCATGCCGCAGAGAGGGCGGGGCCCACTGCACTCGCCTCTGACGTTGAAGCCGTCGCCGCCGCTGCTGTTGCCGCTGCACGCCGCCGTCGCTCTTGTCACTTCCGCAACTGCCGCCATTGCCATCTCCCGGGCCGTGGGTGTTGACCGATTCCGGAGTCATCGCGGCTGCTGCTGGGAAAGGGCGGGCTAGGTTAGGGGGTGTGGGTGTGTGTGGGCTTGTTACTACCAAGCCTAGGAGGTGTGTTAAATTATATATTTTGTTATATAATTGGTAGGCTTGGTAGGTATTATTGCAACCAACTGTAGAGGGTACAATCCCCCTCCTTGTATGCCTCTCTCTTCTATTCTCCCTCTCTTTTTCTCTCGTCAACTCTCTCCTAGCTAAACCCTCACGCCATTTCCATGGCCGCCTACCCTTCCTAGCTACCTAGCTTTTATGACAGAGGAGCATAGACTGTGCACGGCTTGCATGACCAAATGTAAAGAAGCAGAAGGTGTCTGTTTCTCGATTTGCCGTAATATACTCTAATGATTAGCGTTGCTTTTTACCTAGATTTCCAAATGCTACTACTTGTCGATTTCCCTGCAGCCTTTTGGGGCAGAAATTGAGGTTTTAAGAGATCTAACTTGGAACCCCCTTGCTTGCTTCTAAGCTGGCTTATCGCGCATGCTAATCACGAGTTTCTAGTGTGGTCCAGCTCGCTATGCTGCCAGGTTTGCGCTGACGTGTTTCGCCACCCTCGCCACGCCATTCTCCCACATCCAGCTGAGGTATGTGCACCCCGCTTTTCCCCTGTCACGTGACGCTGCGTGGGCGGAAATGTCTGCGCTGTGATGCTGTGAGGCATGGCCCATTTCAACCAAGTCGCATTCCGAGGCAGGAGTCCAGGCTGGCCGCGGCGTCCTTCATCAGCGCGCGCTTCGCCTCTTGCCCCCAGAGACTGTAATGGCTGCAGATATTGGGCGCTGGCACACGTTTCTTGTCCCTTGGCGACGTGTAGAACAGCAGGTTAGGTGCATCAAAGACGAGGTTCGATATCCGCGGCCAGATGTGTTGGAAGCCGTCAGCTTGTCTCAAGCACACGCGATACCTCTGTTAACAATTGCCGAAAGCACTTCAGCGTTTTCCTGAGACTTTAGTACGTAACCCATTCCACAGCGTGCTAGGTGTGAGCGAGCGATTAGTCCGACGACCGGTGACAGTTAGCCGAAATGGCGGCAGCCGCTTCGGTCTCCTTCAGCACAAGCGACAGCAGCGGCGGCAACAGCGGCGGCAGCGGCGGCGAGTGCAAGGAGAGAAAGACGTACGCGTCTCGCCGCGGCGATACGTCTCGCCTCGGCGCGTTCCAGCTGCCGTTCCTGAGCGCGGCGCCGGACTCGCCCCTCAACCCCTCCTCTCTCCTCACCTCCCCCACCGTCACCTCCCCCTCTGCTTCCGCCTCTGCTTCCGCCGCCGCCGCTGATGCGACCGCCGCGGTGATAGCAGAGGGGCTTTCCGCCGCGTCTTTCGCGCGCCGGCGCGCTCCGCGCCACGAGGCTTCCGCGGAGCATCATGGGGCGGACGCGGCGGGGGACTGGAGCGAAGGGGATAGTGACTATAACACGCGGAAGCAGCTTCTTGACGCGTACACGGCGGACGACGACGAGGCGACTGTGCGACGTCGCCTGGCGACGGAGGGGCTGGAGATGCGCGACCTGGTGCCACGTGGACGAATGAGCGCGTGGCACGCAGTCATCGTGCTGGCCTATCACATGCTGCCGTACACGCCGCTCCCCTGCACGCTCGCCGCCCTCGCCTGCTTCTACGGCTACAGGTGGGTCCAACTGGGTCAATTCTTGGTTTTGCAGGGTGTTTTTTAGAATTCTCAAAAACACCCCGCCTGCTTCTACGGCTACCACCGGTGAGTCAGATTGGGTCAAGGTGACTCTTGAGTCGGCTCAAAAGTCTTCTACGGCTACAGGTGAGTCAGATTGTTGATAATTCTCAAAAACCTCTCACAGTTGAGTCTAACTGGGTCAAATCTTGGTCAGTGTTGCCTCTGGTCTTGTCTGGACAACTCTGGTCAACACGAGGAAATTCTGGTCAACTCTTGGTCAGACTATTATTTCTCGTAAACTTTAGTCAACTCAAAGATTTTCTGATAAACCGGCTTGAAACCACTTCATTCCAGTTTAATGTCAAAGCACCTTCCGTACAATGTCATCTCATGGATGCGAGTTTCATCTGTCGTGTGACGTGGCAGGGCGTACGGCTGGCAGGGCACGGTGGCGGTGGTGCTGCTGCTCACCTTCCTCCGCCTCATCCCCCTCTACTACAACTCCGCCCTGCGGAAGAAACTCGCTGTAAGCTGCTCCGTTGCTTTTTATAATGCAAAGCTCTCGTAGCAGAAGCAAAAACATCTCTGTGGTGTAGTAAGGGGTCTCATCCCGTCCCTCTCTTGGCTTCTCCCCTTCCCTCACCCCCTCTCCCTCCCCCATATGCACCCCACTCACCTCCCTCCCTTCCCCCTCTCCCCCTCTCCCCCTCTCCCCCTCTCCCCCTCTCCCCCTCTCCCCCTCTCCCCCTCTCCCCCTCTCCCCCTCTCCCCCTCTCCCCTCTCCCCCTCTCCCCTCTCCCCCTCTCCCCCTCTCCCCCTCTCCCCCTCTCCCCCTCTCCCCCCTCCCCCCTCCCCCCTCCCCCCTCCCCCCTCCCCCCTCCCCCTCCCCCCTCCCCCCTCCCCCCCTCAGTTCCTGTACGAGGCCATGGCGCACTACATGACACGTGTGCGCGTGATCGTGCCAGCTCAGCAGGTGCCACGTGGCGGGTACCTGTTCACGGCGCACCCGCACGGCCGCATGTTCTACAGCAGCAGCATGCTCATTCAGACGGCTCACCGCTGGAAGGACGCCTTCTGCCCGCACGGTAGGGTTGGGGTAGGCCAGGCAGGTATGGTTCCGCCCCCGCGGTAGGGCAGTGGCAGGGCGGTGTGTTTGGCTTCTCTCCCCGCGGCATCGCTTTTGCATTGAGACGCCCGCATGTTCCACTGCCACAGCATGCTCATCCAAACGGCCTCTCTCTGGAAGGACGCCTTCTGCCCCCATGGTAGGCTGGGCAAATATCTGGGTTCTCATCACACAGTATCTTCTGCCCCCATGGTAGGCTGGGCAAATATCTGGGTTCTCATCACACAGTATCTTCTGCCCCCATGCTAGGCTGGGCAGGGGGTATATTTGGGTTCTCAAAACATGGTAGGGTTCTGCCCATGGTGATTGTGGCAGGCAGCGGTATGCATGGAAATCCTTGGGTTCATGGAGGGGGGCTTGACAAGGGATCCGGTCTGGGGTTGGTCCATCACCGACCTCCACATTGCCGTTTCCAGGTGTATTTTGAGTCGACTCAAAAATTCCCTGCATGCCCTCGCCTCCCACACTCACAAGTGCTCGCTCTTCAATCCCCACCCCATTGCCTGATATTTACCCCCCAGGCGAGATATTCGGAGCGGCCAACAGCACGTTCTTCACGGTGCCTGTCATCCGCACCATGCTGTATCTCGCCGGCGCCATCCCTGCCAGCCGCGCCAGCATCATCAACAAGCTCAGGCACGGCGACCATGTGAGTGTCTTTACTCTGCGGTTTGGTGTGCATGCGGGTGTAGTAACCCGCATCCGCAGCATGCTCTATCGCGCAGGAGCCATCTCTGCCAGCCGCGGCAGCATCGTCAGCACGCTCAGGCACGGCGAAAGCCTGCAGCATGTGAGTGTAGAAATCCTGGGGTGTGTGGGTGCTCCCTGCCAGCAGAGGCAGCATCATCATAGCTCAGGCAGGGCCAGCATGTGGGTGTCGTGTGATAGGAGTCTAGTTTTGAGGCGCCTCAGAACTAGACTCCTATCAAGCAGAGGCAGCATCATCATAGCTCAGGCAGGGCCACTGTGTGAGTGCCATGAGGTGCGGATGCCGTGTGCTCGCATGTGCACCTCTCGTGAGTCCCTCCATTGCGCCCCTCGTCCATCTCTCCTCCCCCTCCCTCTTACCCCGCTCCCCCTTACAACATGACACATGGTCGCCTACTCCCCTCTCCCCTGTCTCTCTCTCTCGGGCAGGTGGGCATAGTGGTGGGGGGGATCAGGGAGGTGTGTCTGGGAACCAACCCTCACACGGACGTTCTCTACCTCATGAAGAGGTGAGGCCCATCTGTTGACTGGCGTTGACTTGGTCACCTCAGTTCCAGCGCTTAGCCTCTGTTACCAGTGCCAGGGCTTGTAGTGCTGAGCCTTGTACTGCTGGATATGGGCATTCACGAATTCTGTATCTTACCCATGTGGCGTGTATGCTGCATGGCATGGCATGGCATGGCATGGCATGGTATTGTGAGCATCAGGCGGGGGTTTGCGCGCATAGCAGTGGAAGAAAGAGTGGGAGTGGTCCCCATGTACTGCTTCAACGAGACGCAGGTCAGTGGTCAGTGGTCGGTGGTCAGTGGTCGGTGGTCGGTGGTCAATGGGATCCCATGTAGCCACAGCCTCAGCCACAGCCTCAGCACGGGGGGCAGGCTTCAGAGCAGCAGCTGCAGCCACCGTTGTGGCTGCAGCAGTTGCTGCGGCTGCTACTGCCATGGCTGCAGCTGCCGCCCTGCAGCCCGTCCCTCATGCCGCTGCTGTTGCCGTTGCTGCGGTCACGGCCGTTGCTGCGGTCACGGCCGTTGCTGCGGTCACGGCCGTTGCTGCGGTCACGGCCGTTGCCCCGCATTCACCCATGACTACGGTGCACAAGAGGTACAATAGTATTGCCCTGATGGGAAGTCTATCATGCCTTGTGCGAATCGCATACTTGCTGTATATGGTTGGTGAGTTTATCATTTCTCCGTTTCCCAAGTGTCCTCCTGCCGGCTTCTCCCTTCCGCCATTTCTTGTGCACGTCCCTTCCCGTACATCTCAATGGCGCAGTTGTTCAAGCATGATCCGCTGTGGCTGCTACAGTTCTGGGCCATGGTGAACCGCTATTGGCGCATTGGTGTCCCGTTTATGAGGGGGGTATGGCACATGCCAATGCCCTTTCGAAGGTACGGCTCGGCGTAAAAATTATCACGATGTGTTGGCAGAGGTTTATACATGGTTATAAATGCTAATTATTATTGCTCTTTTGTGACATGCAGGGATTTGCTGATCGTGGTGGGGAAGCCTCTCTTTCCCCGAGACGGGGAGACGGTTGATGAGTTTCACGCGCGATACGCGGATGCAGTATCAATCATTTTCCATAGGTTTGTGGGGCTCTCTTCTCGACCAGCACACAAGCTGCTGATCCGCTAGTAAACTGGATTTTCACATAAGGCTAGGTTTGTTTGGGGGGTTCAAGATTGCCTTGGAAAGGTAAATTTGTGCTAGTTTTGTAGATAATAAATTTTGTGTACAGCCAATAATTATCGAGGCCTTTTAGCGATGCCATCGACATTGTCGCGCGCACCTCCCCTTGTGCTCGCAGCACTACTCGTGAAAAGAGATCGCACGCCTATCTCCGTCCTCTTCCTCTCCTCCTCTCCTCTCCTCGTGTCTCTGAATCATCGAGGTCTGCTGGTAGACTGATTTTTAGGGTTTCACCACCCTCAGCGGTAAGGATCCAGCCAACCGTACGGGTCTGTTTCCACCGTGTCTGTACCGACTATCGGACAGATTTAAAAGCCTTTTCATATACTCTTTATAAACACACAGCCTGATTAAGCGCCATGGCGCCAGTGCGCGAGGCCCACTTCCCAGTGCCAGTGCTCTCCGACAACCCCGACGGCTGGGGTCCCACCACTCTCCCCGAGCAGTTTAAAGACGTCCCCTACGCGCCGTTCAATAAGGGCGACCGCGTCGGCCGCGCGGCGGACTGGACCTCCCAAGGATACCGTGCGCCTCCTCCCCTTGATCTCCCCTTGATCCCCCCTTGATCCCCCCTTGATCCCCCCTTGATCCCCCCTTGATCCCCCCTTGATCCCCCCTTGATCCCCCCTTGATCCCCCCTTGATCCCCCCTTGATCCCCCTTGATTCCCCTTGATTCCCCCTTGATCCCCCTGGACCCACTCTCAGCTCCAAACCCTATCTGCGATTCCGCTGAGTTGTCCAGATTAGTCCGATATAGAGGATGTCTTTAACGGTCAGGCTTTAAATCACTCACGACAATCGATCCACTGCCGAGCCGATAGATGCCGAGTCACCTCAGTCAGGGTTTAGCGGGTTCTATGAGTCCGCTGCGTCTGGTCCAGACGTTTACTCCCTCGGTCCAGTCTCACGATTTATTCGCATCTTCCCCGTTGTCGTTTCCACGTCCTCTTGGCGCTACGATCGCGATCGGCAAGGCTCTCCCGCTGCCCCTATTCGTTCTTTCGCCACCCCCTCAGGTCGCTACGATCGCGACCGCCAAGGCGGGGGCGGCGGCGTGAATGCCGCCTTCACTTTCTTCCAGGACCAGGACGAGGTGGGTAGCGTAGCTTGTCGTGTAGTGCTCATCGCATCCCGCTCTGCATTCCCCGCGCATTCGACGCCTTGTCTCCTTTTGAGATGAGTCGCTCGCCTAAATTTTTTTGTCTCCTAACGTGGCCAGCTGTTCGTCTCCTCTCGTCTTTCGCACCCCATTTTCACCATCCACGTCGTCGCATCATCCACGTCGTCGCATCATCCACGTCGTCGCATCATCCACGTCATCCATGTCATCCACGTCATCCATGTCATCCACGTCGTCCACGGCATGCATGTCATGGTGGCAGGACTCGTTTCAACTCGTGGACACCAAGCCCGTGCAGAAGCCTCGCTACGGTCCCCGCCGCTTCTTCCAGGTTCGCCCCGCCGCTTTCCCTCTCCCCACTCCCTCGCCATCTCCTTCCTCCGCCATCCGACATCCCATTTACTCCATCTCCGTTTCCCTCCTCCCCTCTCCCCCTCCCCCCTCCCCCCTCCTCCCCTCCCCCTCCCCTCCTTTCCCCAGCCCCTTCCCTCGCGCCCCTTCCCACGAACCCTCTTCTCCGTCGCGGGCCCTTCTTTTCGTTTCTCCATTCCACGCCACTCGCCTCGCAACCCCACCTTCCGTCTCAGTTACTCTTCCCCGCCCTCGCCACTTCCCCTTCTTACATTCTCCCTTCTTCCGCCCCTCCCCCGTTCCCCCCCCTCCCGTTTCCCCTTCCCCTCCGCTCCCCCAGAATCGGTTCCAGAACCGGCGCGGGGAGGAGGGGAAGCGCGACGGGCGCGACAGCGGGGCGGGCGCGGACCGGGAGCGGCAGCGGCAGCAGCGCATGCAGCAGCAGAAGCGCGGCCAGTGGAACCCCTACTATGACCGCAACGCGCAACGCGCCACGTACAACAGCTCGGTGAGAAGAAGAGGAGTTAGCACGTGCGAGAAACTCATTCCTTCGACGTCTCATGGATTGGCGACTAGTAGGCTGGCGCTCTCCCCCCCTTTCCATATCTTTCCCCTCCCCTTTCCATATCTTTCCCCTTCCCCCCTCCCCCCTCCCCCCTCCCCCCTCCCCCGCCATTCCCCTCCTACTCCCGTCAGGTGCTGCTGGAGCAACTCCCGCTCTCCGCTCTCTCCAGGTTACCCCCCGCCCTCGTATCTCCTCCCTTGCGGCTGTCTCGCCCACCTTCCTATCCCCCTGACCCCCTTCACTTCCCCTCTCCCAGGTGGACATCCGGCCGGAGTGGGTGGTGTTGGAGCAGATTCCGCTCTCCGCGCTCTCCAAGCTCAGCTTCAACGCGGGCGAGCCGCAGGACGTGTGAGTGGGAGGGGAGGGGCACAGTGTGAGTGTGAGGGGAGGGGCACAGTGTGAGTGTGAGGGGAGGGGCACAGTGTGAGTGTGAGGGGAGGGGCTCAGTGTGAGTGTGAGGGGTAGGCGGGGCCGCAGGACGTGAGGGTGCGAGAGACGACGAGGCATGGAGAATGTGAGCCTCGAGCACAAGCGATGGAGAAAGGGGAGAAGGGGTGGGAGTGCAAGGGGTGCACGAGGCACGGTTCAAATCGCGTGTCTGACGGGGTGAGCTTGCCTTCCAGCTCGGCACCGAATCATGAGTGATCTCGCGCTGACTCTCTCGTCTCTATCCTACGATCGAGGCCTTCCACTCATTCCTCAACCCCTCCTCCCCCCCGCCCCGTTTTGAGGTGCCTCAAAACTAGACTTCTATCACGCTGACTCTCTCTTCTCTATCCTACAATCGAGGTGTTCCACTCATTCCTCAACCCCTCCCCCCCCCCCGGCCCCCGCTCCCCTCCCGAGCTCGCTCTTCCTGTGGCTCATCGTCCCTTTTCTGCACCTCTCGCCTCTCGCCCCGCTCGCAGAACGACCTGTGGAGCGCTCGAATATTATGACAAGACGTTTGACCGAGTCAGCCCCAAGGTATGGCCTTTCTTTAAATGCTTCCATTTTCGGCATTTGTACAGATTCCCGTTGCTCAGCTCACCCTGTCCCCTGCACATGTACTCTCGCTTCCCCCCCCCTCCCCCCCGTTCTCTCCATTCTCCCCCCTCCATCTGTGCAGTTCGAGCGCCCGTTGGAGCGGTGCGAAACTAGGCACTTCCACAAGGTGATGACGAGCGACGACCCGGTGGTGAAGCGGCCAGTACCAACCCCGCTGCTGCTCGCCTGTCCCCACTGGCCTCCCTCTTTCCATTCTCTCTGCAGTTCGAGCGCCCCTTGGAGCGGTGCGAGACGCGCCACTTCCACGAGGTGACGACGAGCGACGACCCGGTGGTGAAGAGGCTTCCTCTAATTCGCCTTTCTCCTTCTGCCCTGCCTGGGCCCCCTTCCTCTGCAGTTCGAGCGCCCGTTGGAGCGGTGCGAGACGCGCCACTTCCACAAGGTGACCACCAGCGACGACCCGGTGGTGAAGCGCCTGGCAGCGGAGGGCGGGGAGGGCGCGCCTGCGGTGTTCGCGACGGACACCATCCTGTCGACGCTCATGTGCGCGCCGCGGTCCGTGTACTCGTGGGACGTGGTGGTGCAGAAGAGCGGCGGCAAGCTGTACTTGGACCAGCGGGACTCGTCGTTCGATCTCCTCACGGTAATTGCCGGTGTGGCTTGAGTTGGTGTGGCATGGTGGGGTGTGAAGGCATGTTTGGGTTGGGTCGGTCCGTGTACTCATGGGACTGTGGTGCTCAAGAGCGACGGAAAACTCTACTTCGACCAGTGCGACTCGTCCTTCGATCTCCTCACGGTATGTGGTGCTGTGTGGCGTGAGTTGGTGGGGCATGCGCGCACGCTAGGGCTGGTCCGTGTACGCGTGGGACGTGGTGGTGCAGAAGAGCGGCGGGAAACTCTACTTCGGCCAGCGCGACTCGTCGTTCGACTTGCTCACGGTGAGTGCCCTTTGACTGGTTTGCAGTGTGGGGTGGGTTGGTGGGGCCCGTTGGGGCATGACGGGCATGCTTGGGCTGGGTCCGTGCACTTGTGGAACGTGGTCGTGCAGAGAGCGGAGGAAAAGTTTACTTGGACCAGAGGGACTTGTCGTTCGATTTGCTGACGGTGAGAGCCAGATGCGAGGGCAGCTGCGAGGGCAGCATCAACCAACCCACAAGCCCCCCTCCCTCCGCCGTCGTTGTTTGCCCTTGTCCCCATGGCAGGTGAACGCGACAGCCACGGGCATAGAGCTGGCGGCGGAGGACAGCATCAACGGCATCACACAGTGGCACTGATGCATGCACCTCCCACCCATCTCAAGCCCTCTCACCTCCCCTTCATCATCCCCTGCCCAACGCCCACGCCAGGTGAACGAGACAGCGACGGGCATCGAGCCGGCGGCGGAGGACAGCATCAACGGCATCGCGTCGCTGAGCCAGGAGGCGACGTTCATCAACCAGAACTTCTCGCAGCAGATCCTGCACAAGGTGGGCGAGGGAGGGTGGTGGCGGGTGGTGGTGGTTGGTGGTGGGTGGTGCTGGGTGGTGGGTACGGTGTTACTGCACTATGGTGGTCACCGGCCACGTGGCACTAGGGGGCCTACAGCCAGGAGGCGACGTTCATCTACCAGAACTTCTCGCAGCAGATCCTGCACACTCGCCGTTTCTCTTTAGCGAATCCCATCCTCTCATCCGTCGGCGAGAGGCGACGGGATTTGCTAACGACAAACGGCGAGAGACAGTGGGCTGCTGCTGTGGATTGGATGACAGTGTCGGCTGGACGTGGTGTGTTATGGTACGTACTGCACAAGGCAATCTTTCTATCCCCCGTCTAGCTACCTCATTCCTCCCTTCGCCCCTCCCTCGAGTAATCAGTAGTGCCTTTTTCTTAGACGTGCACATGCATTTCCCCTTGTTTTGTACAATGCAAAAGTAGCTTTAAAAGTAATGTTCTCTTCTCTCCCACCTCCCGTGAGCAGAAGGGCGCCAAACGCCAGTTCCCAGAGCCGAATCCGTTCGCTACGGAGGGCGAGGAGGTGGCGTCCGTGGCGTACCGCTACCGCAAGTGGACGCTGGACGGGGTGAGCTGGGGGATGGGGTGAGCTGGGGGATGGGGTGAGCTGAGGAAAGAAGGTTCATGGGGTGAGGCGAGGAGGTAGCTTGTGCGCCTGTGAATGTGCCGGTGGCGGTCTGCTGTTGCAGTGGCCGCTGGATGGGGGGAGTTTTGAGGCGCCTCAAAGGTGGCCGCTGGATGGGGGGAGCTGAGGGACGGCAGAGGGGTGTAGTGGATGGTAGTCGTGCCACGCACTGCCGGGTGCTGCTGCTGCGAGCTCGATGCGGTGGTGGAAATGAAGGGGCAGGAGGTGCTGGCCACGGTGAATGTTGAGGCATCCTGATGCACACTTCTTGTGTGTGTTTTTCCTGCGCCCCTCGTACGCCAGGACGTTCCCTTGGTGGTGTGCTGCGAGTTAGATGCCGTGGTGGACGTGAAGGGGCAGGAGCTGCTGGCCACGGTGAAAGCTCACATGCCCTTCAACACACACTCCTGTGCCTCCTCCCTGCCCTCCACTACCCTACACCAGGACATCCCCTTAGTCGTGCGCTGCGAGCTCGACGCTGTGGTGGACATGAAGGGGCAGGAGCTGCTGGCCACGGTGAACGCGCTGAACGAGTTTGACCCCAAGGTCACGGGGGTGGACTGGAGGGCCAAGATCGAGAACCAGCGCGGCGCAGTGAGTGGTGGGGAGGGGTGAGTAGTGTTGTAGGATTGGAAGCGGGGTTGCTGGTCGAACCAAAGAGGAGCCTTGACTTCGTTATTCAAATCCCGCTATGGCTCCAAAGGTTGAAGAACAACAGCATTAAGCTACCCAAGAGGAATCTCGTCTGTGCCCTGTGGCTGTACCCAAGTGCAACAAGCTAGGTCTTTACGCACTCACTGTTCCATCCTCTTCGCCCCGCCCGCTTCCCCCCCCCCTCTCGCCCACTCCCCACCCCTGCCAGGTGCTGGCGACGGAGCTGAAGAACAACAGCAGCAATCTCGCCAAGTGGGATCCTGCCTGTTCCTGGTCCCCGTGCACGCACACACTGTACCACTTCCCCCCACATTCTCCCCTCCTTCCCTTCCCCCTCCCCTACCCCTCCCCATCTCCCGACTCCCAGGTGCTGGCCACGGAGCTGAAGAACAACAGCAACAAGCTCGCCAAGTGGAATCATGTCTATACCCTGAGTCTGTGCACGCACCTCTCCCCACCCCTCTCCACCCCTCCCAGGTGCTGGCCACGGAGCTCAAGAACAACAGCAACAAGCTCGCCAAGTGGAATCATGTCTATACCCTGAGTCTGTGCACACACCCCTCCCCACCCCTCTCCACCCCTCCCAGGTGCTGGCCACGGAGCTCAAGAACAACAGCAACAAGCTCGCCAAGTGGACGGCCCAAGCTCTCCTGGCAGGGGCTGACCTGGTGCGATAAGGGGGGAAGAGGAGGGGGGGCGAGGGCGGGGGGAAAGGCCAATGGGCTGGGGGCCTGTTGGGACTTTTTGGGGGGAGGGGTAGTGAAGGGGGTTGGGGATGGGGGAGGAGGGGAAGGGGTGGGAGGTGGGCAATGAGCGGGGCAAAGGCTTATGTCGGTGCAGATGCTGTACGGACTTGTTCATTGCCGTATGAGAGCCTTCTCCTCCCCCCTTTCCCTCCCCCCTTCCTTTTCTCGTTCTCTGTACATGCCTCGCTCTCGTTCTCTGTACATGCCTCGCTCTCGTTCTCTGTACATGCCTCGCTCTCGTTCTCTGTACATGCCTCGCTCTCGTTCTCTGTACATGCCTCGCTCTCGTTCTCTGTACATGCCTCGCTCTCGTTCTCTGTACATGCCTCGCTCTCGTTCTCTGTACATGCCTCGCTCTCGTTCTCTGTACATGCCTCGCTCTCGTTCTCTGTACATGCCTCGCTCTCGTTCTCTGTACATGCCTCGCTCTCGTTCTCTGTACATGCCTCGCTCTCGTTCTCGGTATGGAAGTCTAGTTCCCTCCTCGCGCACTCTGCCTTTCTGCTGCACTTGCTCAGTCCTCCCTATCCTGCTCTCCGTGCCCATCATACCCTGGCACCACCCCCCGATACCCTGCCACCACCCCCCGGGTTGGAGGAGCAGATGAAGCTGGGCTACGTGTACCCCAAGGACAACGTCACGCCCATCCCATGGCCTCCTACCCCGCCATCCCATGCCCTCCTACCCCGCCATCCCATGCCCTCCTACCCCGCCATCCCATGCCCTCCTACCCCGCCATCCCATGCCCTCCTACCCCGCCATCCCATGCCCTCCTACCCCGCCATCCTGTGCCATCATATCCCCCCAACCCCCATGAGCAGATGAAGCTGGGCTACGTGTCACGAGTGTACCCCAAGAACAACCTCAAGCACACCGTCCTCGCAGTGCAGGTCAGTGCGGGTCAACATGGGTCAGTGTGGGCCAGTGCAGGGGTCAATATAATTCTGTGCGGGTCAGTGCAGGTCAGTGCGGATCTGCAGCCCGCCTGCTGACATTCCACCGCGTTCCACCGCATTCCAGCACACCCCACTGCTGCTCTCCAGTTTGCCCTACTGCCTCCCCTATGCTTCTGTGTCCACTCCACTCTTGCCTCCTACCGTCACAACTTCCCTTCTCACAACTCATCTCTCGTCCTTTCTCCCGTTTCCCCCCGGCAGGCATACAAGCCCCGTGAGCTGGCCATGCAGATCACGCTGTCGTCCACCAACATGTGGGGCATTGTCAAGGTACGCATGGGGCATGCTTCGTAAGTGTATGCACTATTGAAGTATGTGCAACTAGACAGAGGCAAGCTCGCCGTGCAAATCACGCTGTCATCCACCAACATGTGGGGCGTCGCCAAGGGGTGTCAAGGGGTGTCAAGGGGTGTCAAGGGGTGCGGCCATGCTAGCTAGTCGAGTACAGTGTGTGCGGCACGGCAAGGGATTGCTAGAGGACATGTGCATGAAGCTGGAGGACGGCGATTACCTTATCGTTAAGGTCTCCCTCTCAGTCACATGTCTCTGCCCTTGTCTCTTCGCCTCCCCCTCCTCCCCCCTCCTCCAATCAACACATAGGCGACGTGTGCATGAAGCTCGAGGATGGCAAGTACCTTGAGGCACATACATGCAGCTCTTGTCTCTTCCTTCCCTCACCTCGCCCCCACCCATCTCCCCCCCCCCCCCCCCCGCTCCTCCTCCATTCTATAATCAGCACATAGTGGACATGTGCATGAAGCTCGAGGACGGCAAGTACCTTATCGTCAAGGACCCCAACAAGCCCTTCCTCAGGTGAGCCCTTCCTCAGGTGAGCCCTTCCTCAGGTGAGCCCTTCCTCAGGTGAGCCCTTCCTCAGGTGAGCCCTTCCTCAGTTGAGCCCTTCCTCAGGTGAGCCGTTTCTCAGGTGAGCCCTTCCTCAGGTGATTCCCCACCCATCCCCCCCATGTGTCCGTCACGTCCCATCTCCTTGCCCCTCACGACCATATTCCCTCTTTCCTCTTCTTTCCCAGCTCTCTTCTTCCTCCACAGTTCCTCCTCTCGCCTATTACCGTCCCCTCCATTCGTCTCCTTGTCTCCCCCTCACCCCCCCCCCCTTGCTCTCCTGATGTCCACTCGTCCCCCTCACAAGCTCTACAAGGTGCCCACTGACGCCCGCTCTCGCATGCTCACTCCACTCCTGGTCCCTCACATTCTCCTCCCCCTCCAACCCCCTCCCCCCCCCCCCCTTCCCCCCTCCTTCCCCTCTCCAGGCTGTACGAGGTGCCGTCGGATGCCTTCGACAATGACTATGTTGAGGAGCCCCTCCCCGAGGTAAGCCCTCCCTGAGGTAAGCCCTTTCCAAGGTAAACTACAAGCTTCTTTGTGCTATTGATGATCCCAATCTCTTCAAGCCACTGCTGCCAATGACGTGTACGGTGTACCGCTGTTGCTCTGTCCGTGTGTACCTGCCCAGTCCCAGGACCACGCGAGAACATTGAATGGTTTTCAAATGTCAAATTTCCCACGCTCCCACAGCCTCCACTGGTTCCTCTTGCAGTAGCAGTAGCAGCAGCTGCTGCTGATTCCAACGCGGCTGTGTGATTCACTGCCTTCCTTTTGGCCTGCATTTGTGTCCCCTTCCCTTGTTTGCCCCTCTGCAGGAGGAACAGGCCCCTCCTCCTGAAGACTCGGGCGACGCAGAACCAGCAGAAGCAGCGCCAGCTGCTGATTCCAACGCTGCTGCATGATCTTTCAAATTTTGGTACAAGCCTTACACTCCTGTTTTTTGTGCAATAGCTTTGTCGGTTGAGCTGATACAAATACCACCAGGTTTGCCTGCTATCGTTCTGTCGATCTAATGCCTCTAGAGCATAGGTATATGGAAAAATGGGCAGATAAAATTCAAGCATTTACATGAAGCGATGACTGAGATGCGTGCAGTGTGGATGGATTTCATGCCATGAGCAGCAGCAGGGGAGCCTGGAAAGAAGCCCACGTTCAGGACCAGGCTAAGGGTGGAACAGCAACCCACCACATCCATGCACAAGTTCTAGCACACTAACACTGCATCAAACTTTCCAGAAAATGAACAAGGCACATCCCAGCCAGCCAACACCGGTGCACCGCCCCTCACCCATACAAACACTGCCACTGTCAAGCAAGCCCATCACCTCATACCCCAGGGAAATCAAAAGCACTGCCTTGCCTCACGCCCCTCCCAGGGAGTCAAGTCAAATCAGCCCTGACAAATACAACAGGCGTGAGTGAGAAGCACCGCTGCACATGCGGCAGCTCCGTGGACGCTCTCAGTTACCCCATCTCCCCTCCTCTCCTCCCCGACCCTCTATCCCTGCACCTCTTCCCCTCCATGCTCCCTGCACCTAGCCTCAAGCCCGGCCCATGGAGTTGAACCATCCCTTCCCAATGGGCATGAGTAGGAAGGGCACGTGCTGCTGCAAATGCGGCCGCACAGTGGTCTCCAGGTGCCCCTCCTCCCCTCCTCTCCTCCCCTCCTCTCCTCTTTCCCCTCCATGCTCCCTGCACCTAGCCTCAAGCCCGACCCATGGAGTTGAACCACCCCTTCACATAGCCAATGGGCGTGAGCAGGAAGGGCACATACCGCTGCACGGGCGGCATGACAGTGGTCTCCAGGTGGCCCCAGATCTGCCTGTGGTACCACGCGGACGCGGGCGCGTGGAAGCGCATCTTGAGCAGCTGCCAGTACAGAAACACCTGGAAGAAGCTCCGCTGGGGGGTGAGCAGGTAGAACGCGAGTAGCGGCCCCAGCATGACCTCTGTATTCGCTGTAAACAGCTCCACCTGCTGCCTATTAGCCGCCAGCCAGTCACACGGTTTAGCCAGGTAGGTCCGGTAGAGGGCTGCCTGGCTGAAATGCTGCCGTAGGTGGGCGGCGAGCGGGAGGACGGAGCGGGCGGCGAGGGGGAGAAGCGCGAGGGCTATGGGGTAGGGGGAGGGCAGGAAGACGGAGCAGTGCATGAGGTTGAGCAGGTGGGGGCCGGTTAAGAGCGTCTGCAGCCAGGCTTTAAGGGCGTCCAGGGAGAGCGCGGCGGGGCGGCCGTGCTGCTGGAGGATGGAGAGGGCGGAGGCGAGGAGGCCCCCGAAGAGGGCGAAGCGGAAGGCGCGGATGAGCAGGGCGCGCGGGCAGAAGGGGAAGAGGGCGATGAGGGCCATGACGATCACCCACGCATGCGCCACGAAGGTGTATGTGGGCAGGCTCATGCGCGTGCTGCTGCCAGTGGTGCTACCACCCGTGCCAGTGCTGCCCCCCCTGCTTCCAGCACCGCCGGTACCAGGAGTGGCTCTGGCGCCTGTGCCTGCCGCTCCCGAGCCTGCTGCCGAGGCTCGGGCCGAGGCGGAGGGGCGAGGGGCGGTGGAAGCAGAGGAAGGGGCGGCGTAGGAGGAGGAGGTGGGGGGGATGGTGGAGGAGGGGGGAGGGTTTGGTTGCAAGGGATCGATCTGAAACGCAGGATCCACAAACTGGCGGAAGAACTTCTGCTTGTAACGGCTGAGGACGGCGGGGTCGTTGGCTCTGTCGGGCGGGATGGTGAGGTTGTTGTAGTAGTCGCGCCATGCCGCGCTGGTCGCGAAGTCGAAGGATGAGAAGGCCGCCTGCTGCTCCGGCGTGTTGCCCGCCATTGGGGTGCTGCTGCCCTTGGAGAGGGGATGGGTGTGTGTCGATGTGCGGGGGGAAGGTGAGAGGATGGGTGATGGTGGAATCCGGAATGCGGAATGTTGTGATACCTGATAGCCTGATGTTGATGGTGGTGGTGTAGCTGCTACTGCTGCTGCTTCTGCTGCTGCTGCTGCTACTGCTGCTGCTTCTGCTGCTGCTGCTGCTACTGCTGCTGCTGCTGCTGCTACTGCTGCTGCTTCTGCTGCTGCTGCTGCTTCTGCTGCTGCTGCTGCAATTGCTGTTGCTCGCGATCCTGCTGCTGGTGGTGGCTTTGGGGCAGAGTTACTGGGGGCAGAGCTACGGGGGCAGAGCTACGGGGGCAGAGCTACGGGGAGAGATCTTGAGACCCTGGAACGGAAGGAAGGGCGCAGACGGAAGGAGACGCAGCGGAGAAAACAGGGAATGAGCCACGGGAAAACAGGGAATGAGCCACGGGAAAACAGGGAATGAGCGCGGTGGCTAGCTGGTGACGCGGGACATGGGAAGGTGGAAAGCGGACTTTCTTCTGGGAATCCTTCGACAATCAAACGGATGCTGAGAAGGGTGTCTGATACTGCTGCCGAGCAGAGAAACAAAACTGAGATCGTTTCTTTCGCCGTCAGCATCACCGATATCGTTATCACAGATTCAACGGCAGGGAGCCTCACCGTTCACTCCGTCGCTGCGGAGGAGCCGATCCGTTTGCCGCCGTGATTTCCAAGACACCCCGTCAATCTCAAGACACTCCGTTGTCAAACCTAGTGGACGGCCGCGTTCCCTCTCTGAACTCTCAAGAAGCCTGAGACTCGTTGAATTACGGAGGACGCTGAGAGTAATAACGAGACAGATCACGGTAGGGAAGGGCTGCGTTCTGATCTGATAGTGAACCTCCTTGAGCTGATAAACCCGCTTGTGTTGCTGGGTTTAACGAATTGGGTATCTACATGTTGACAATGTGATGCATATGTAAACGTATAGCGTAGGTTCAATCTAATGAGTGCTGATAAATGATTATGTGAATCACATGAAAGGCTTGGGAGAAATATCACAACAAATAATTCTTGTAAATGATAAAATGGTCGAAAGCTTCATATGGTAAGGTGAACAGATGGGTCGTCTTTCATTAGTTCCTTCCGTTCCAATCCTATATTAAGCCCTTTAGAACATGAAATAATTCAAATTTTCACACTGATAATTTTGAAATCATACTCAATTATGCATTTTGCTTGTATATGTAAGTTATTCCTGATTGTGTGTACATGCACATCATAAGCTCTAAAGCGCATGGGTTGAAGGAGAATGAAACAATTTTACACATCCCTTATCGAGCTGTACCACCTGACTCTTCTCACAAAATCCCCCCCACCACTACCTCCTTGCTTTCAGAGCTGTCTACGCCTCATTGGGTTTCGACTTCAGTGAGGCTGAGTCGATCAGAATCTTGTAGCCCGTGCAGCGAATGTGGCGGCGAATATGGCATCGCGGTCGCGGCATCTTCTGAGCCAGCCTGTAGTTCAGAGAATCAAGCAGCCTTTTTCCAATGAAAGCGGGCCTCGTGGCAGGTGCTACGTATCGCATGCTTTTCGCCTCGTCGCTTTCGTCGCGGTTCCATGGCTTCGCCTTTATCCCGCGGGTGTTCAGTCGTATTGCCACGTCATGGCCACAGTAGTTTGAACCTTCCCTCAAGTTCACTTCATTCACACCAACCGACGGAACAAATCCGTCCCAGACCAGTTGGTCCGTTCTGTTCCATCCTCCGCCGTTCATTGAGGCGCGTGGAAGTTAGTCTTCGACCCAGGATGAGACCAGTCAAGTGCCTGAGAGGGAGATGGAGGAAGATCAGGTACGTACAGTACAGTTCGGTTAGGGTTTCAGTGATTTCTGCCCCGAGTTTGATCGAGTCGCTCTAGCGTACACGGCTCAGACAGCAAGGCACCATTCCCTGTGCTGCGTCGGCATCGGAATTCGGAATTCAGGCAAGCGACTCCGTCTGCCATGGAGCTACAGTACGCTGATGCCGCTTTTTGTTCAGTATGCCGCTGATGCTGTGGCAAAGGAATCTCCTCCATCTCGCCTTCAGTGCACCCCAGGGCTTATTTTTTACCGGTAGATACCCGGATTTTGAACAAATAACGGGTGAATTTTTCACCAAAATCGGATTGCGACGTGTTCGATTTTCATGAACCCTGATTTGACGGGTATATTTTGACCAGAACACGTAAAGAGACGTGTTCAGTTTTGAGAAACACGGATCCTAAAACTTCTCAGGCCACCCCACAGATCCCCCCGCCATTCCCTCCCCCCACAGCACATCAGGCAGCAAGGAAGTTCAAGAAGTAGAAGTATAAGAGCTGAGCGCAGTACTCTTACGTGGTTCCCTTAGAATCCAGGAACTTTTCGTAAGAGCGTTTTCATCACGGAAAAGATCCCGGGACTGAATCCGGACATTGACGGGTAACGTTCCAGATAAACCCGTAATCCGGGTTCCGCGAGAGATATACTCGGATCTGCCGTGTGGACGAAAACCCTAAGGTTAGCCTACCCCCAACCCGCGTAAACGATAAGGATCTTTCACTTCAGTGCTGTCCGCCAGGCCAGAAGCAGCGGAAAACTTGTCCTCCTCGGTCGCAAAATTTGTGATTCCGAAGCGATGTTGGATGGATGGATGGAAGCCACCCAACCCAACCCAAGCGTCCTGCCCTGTCATTCCGAGTCCTGACTCCTGACTCTCTGTCCCTCCCTCGCCCTTGTGGAATCAACTTGCCAGGCTGCTACCCCACCCAGCAGGCCATTAGCTTGGAGTTATTGACCGCTGGTAAATGACATGGGGTGATACAGTACAATGCGCTGCTGTCATTCTCGCCGATCGCAGTCATCCGCTGGTGATTGCTGCTCTCTGATCAATTTGCTCTCTGAGGGCCCCCCACCCTAGAGCTTCTCCTGATCCCGCTGTTCGGGGTCTGAATTCTCGTCCAGGATGGATGTATCTGAGCTTAGGCACGTTGAGCCCGCACCCCTCAAATTGATGTAAAGAGTTAGTGTACCGCATACTTTCTCGCGCTGCCAAATTTATCGCCGCAGCATATTCCTTCTAGCGGTTTTCCAGAAAATCTGGATAGTTTTTTCTCAGGACTGAAGACTGTCCTGAAGGGTAGGTAGTCCCCATCCTAAGTACCGCTCTTATTACGATCACCTGACGATAATTTCAGTTTCAGTCTAGCTGCAGACTTTCTTGTTCGAGAGGCTAGCCGCAGCAGCAGCTTCTGCCCTCCACTGGAGGGTGCCACCCCCCCCTGCGTCAGCTTTCTTATCACTCCCCTCCGGGAAGTGCGGTTCTCATCTCATCGTTTTAGCTCAGATTCTGCTAAACCCTGGACGTACCCGCTCCCTCACCAACAGCGTGCTCTGACAAGCCTGGGGGGACTGGGGGGAACCAACGCAGAGACGAGCCAACACAGAGAATCTCTTGTGAAGAGCCAACACAGATAATCTCTGAAGATCCAAGGCCGTGGGGAGCTAAGGGTGCAGCAGCAGCCATGGCCGTTCGGCCGGACGTTCTCCTGAATCAGATGGCCGGCGTTGACAGCGGTGAGACGGCCGTCCTTCAGGTTCGAGCCTCTCACAGAGCAGCTTCAACCGTTCTAGGCGTGGCGTCTCCTACCCTTCAGTGGGGTCCGTTCTCAGATTCAGAACGTGCAGCAGATGCAGCGGCAGCGGCAGTGGAAGCAGCAGCAGCAGGTGCAGCTGTGGCGAATGCATTCACTGACGAGAATTGCAATCTCGAGGCTGAGATCAGCGCGTTGGAGGCTAAGATCTGCGAGCTACAGTCCCGTCTGCTCCACACAGCCCTAAACCCGGACACGGACCCGTTTGCTGGCGCTCAGGCTGTGGCATCCCCGCATGCTGCTGCTGCTGCTACTGTGGTGGCCTGCACTGACAGCAGCGTCGACGGAGCTGCGGCGTTTGAGCGTGGCGATTTGACCGCGCTGGAGGCGGCGTTGAGTCGGAGTGGCTCCAAGGGCTCCGGCCTGGACGACTCGCTCTCGCTGGATGCCGTGCTGATGGAAGCAGGGCTGGCGGAAGCAGGGCTGGCGGAAGCAGGGCTGGCGGAAGCAGGGCTGGCCGAATTGGTGCCAATGGATGCTGTGCCTATAAAGGCAGGGCCTGTAGGGGCATCGCTGGTAAAACCCCTGGCCGCAGGGGTGCCTGCTGAATCGGCGCTTGCAGCCGATCGCCCTGCTGCATGCCACCTGCTCCCCTTACGGAAGCGACAGCGATCGCCGTTATTGGAGCCTCCGGACGACCCTCTCCAGCATCAGCACATCCACCAGCACCAGCACCATCAGCAGCAGCAGCAGCAGCAGCAACAACAGCATGATGCTGTTTATCAGCATCAGCAGCATCAGCATCAGCTTCAGCTTCAGCTGCAGCATGAGCATGAGCATGCTCAGCATTCCCTGCATCATGAGTACCATCGCGGGCATCAGGATGAGCACAACATCCTCTCCCCGACCACACCCACGTTCTGCCCCGCCCGCCTCTCTCCCCGCCCGGGCCTCACCAGCGCCCTCGTCAGCCCTCCCAGTCTTCACTCTCTTGATCTGCTTGGCGTTGGCCATGCGGCGGAGGCTAGCCCTGACAGTGCTGTGGACGCGTTCATCACGCATCACATGCAGCAGCAACAGCAGCACCACCACCAGGAGCAGCAGCAGCACCACCACCACCAGCACCAGCAGCACCAGCAGCAGCAGCAGCAGCAGCAGCAGCAGCAGCAGCAGCAGCAGCAGCAGCACCAGCAGCACCAGCAGCACCAGCAGCAGCAGCAGCATCAGCACCAGCACCAGCAGCTGACTTCTCCCACGCTCCAGCAGCACCTACCCCAACAGCACCTTCCCCAGCAGCATCTACCTCAGCAGCACCTACCCGAGGATAACCTACCCCAGCAGCACCTGGCTCAGTTGTGCCTCCACCGAATGCATCAGCGGCAGCAGGACATGCATCCATCAATCACTGAAGCCCGCACTCCCCGCTTCGTGCCTGGGAAGTCGTCTCTTTCCCTGCTGCCCCTGTCCCCCGGCTCTCCCCTCTCCTCCCGCTGCTCCTCCTCTGGAGCGGGCAGCGAAGGCAGAGGCTCCACGTGCTTTGCTCCAGTGCGGGGGTATGAGGACTTGCAGCAGCAGCACTTGCGGAATCTGCAGGCTCAGCAGCAGCAGCAGCAGCAGCAGCAACAGCTGGGGGCACACCCGCTGCTTGAAGCAGCCGAACCAAAGCAGCAGTGGGGAAGGGCCCGTGTGTTCAGCGTGCCGCAGAAGCTGCCCTCGCCCTCAGCAGCATTCTTCCCCCCTGCAGCAGCAGGTGGCGGAGGTGGAGGTCGCAGGGCAAGCACGGCAGCCCATATGGCTATTCACGCCAAGCAGCGGCGGCTGCTAGTGAAGCCCAAGATCCACAGCTCAAGCATGGATGCCTTGCCAGTGGGACCTGCCAACACTGGAACAAACTACCCAGAGCCAGCAGCATTGCGATCGCGCTCACTCGACAGCCACCCTCTGATCCCCTCCTTGACTGTTCCTGGGGCCTGTGTCAGCTCGAGCAGCTTGACGCCCCACCTTGCAGCCTCGGAGATTGCTGCGCGGATCCGAAAGACTCGGCACCTCGCACAGTGCACACCAGAGGTGCCGAGCACGCAGCCACCCATGGCTGCTCATGCGGGTGACATGGCTGCCTGCAGTAATCAGAACATACCTGCTGCTTCTTCATCCCTGCAATGTCCCTCGGTGTTACCAGGGAGTACCTGCTCCGCTGCTCTCCACGCCGTTCCTCTGTGCTCCACCGGTTACAATCACCACCTCCTGTGCTACCAAGCCATGAATGCATTTCCTGCAGGGGAGTGGCCTGCTGTCCACTGTCTACCCAAAGTGTATCTCAACCCGCCCGCCGGCGGGAGGAAGCGGGTGGGTCGAAAGCCCTCTGCTGGCAAGGTTGTCAAGCTAGCGCCTGCGCAGCTGACTCCAGCGAAAGTTCCTTGTGCCAGACTTCGCCCATCCAAACTCATTTCTATCGCTCCGGCGCCAGCCTCTTGATTGGCTCCTCATAATGCGATGTAATAATATTGCTATTGTAACGAGAAACTACTCGTTTAACATTAATATAATAATTATTATACTTCATTTGCAGAAATGTTAATTGCCGATGGCGTTATTATAAGAAGATATTCCCCTTGGCTTATCGCGCCTGACTACACACACTCCGATCTCGTGAGCTTGAAGTTCTTCCTTGCAATCTGTGCTTCCCCGTCAGCTGTGGTGGATTCGATGTCACGCCTAGGCCACCACCGTAGGTTGGTCCTGTCTGGGTGCATGTTCCATACATGACTCCTAACGCGCCGTCAAGTTAGCCTCTCACCGCGATGGACGCCATTGGTCCATCAGGGAATGCTTTTGAGTCGACTCTAATGCGCGCAGAAGCTTAGATTCAGCGTAGGATCAAGCAAGCGTGACGCCGAGCGCGAATCTTCATGATGCCTTCCTCCGCCCCTGAATCCACCGACTTCAGCGCTGCGGAAAGCGGATCTAATGACGCGACGCCTATCCTGAGTGACTACATCGCAGGTGCTCTCTCGGATCCACGTGTCTGGTCGGTAGCCGCTGCGTCTGCCTCGTTAGTAGCGCCGATCGCGCTGGGTCTCCGTCTCCTATTAAAGCCGTCCGGCGGCGCGCGGGAGATCACGATCCCGGTGATCTCGCCCGCTGTGCACCAGCAGTTGCTGACGTGGCAGCAGCAGCAGCGACTGCGGACGTGGCAAACGCGAAGAAATGCCTACGCAATCGCCCTGCAGAAGCAGGAAGAAGAGCAGGCAAGGTACGATCAGCAGCAGCAGCAGCAGCAGCAGCAGCATGAGAGAGCAGGGGAGAGCGCAGGGGAGGGAGTGCGAGGTGGTGCAGAGGGGGGATCAGAGGCCGGCCGAGAACAAGGGGGTGGAGAGGGCGGAGAGGGCGGAGAGGGCGGAGAGGGCGGAGAGGGCGGAGAGGGCGGAGAGGGCGGAGAGGGCGGAGAGGGCGGAGAGGGCGGAGAGGGCGGAGAGGGCGGAGAGGGCGGAGAGGGCGGAGAGGGCGGAGAGGGCGGAGAGGGCGGAGAGGGAGACGATGGAGGGGCGATAGTAGAGGCGAATGAGGGAGGTGCAGGAGGAGCGGGAGCAGAGGGAGCACAGGGCGCAGAGGGAGCAGCGGCAGGAGACACAGGAGAGGGGGCCGAGGCAGCCATAGACGCGGCAGTGGCAGCGCTGAACCAGGCCGGGCAGCGCCTGCTGCTCATGATGCGGTCGGCGGACAAGCACCTCTCCTTCTGGCGCCGCCTGGCCCTCGCCCCGCCCTCGCAGCAGCTGTGGATCGTGCTGCTCCGCCGAGGGCCGCTCGCGTTCCTCCACACGTCGCTTTCCCTCTCCCTCTCGCTCGCTCTCTCCGCCCTGCATCGCTACCTCCTCCCCCTTCTCTCCTCCCCCGCTCTTCCTTCCTCCTCCTCCCGTCCCCCCTCCTCCCCCTCCGTTTCTCCCCCCTCCTCTCCCTCCCCAAACCCCCTCCCGCCCAGCTTTCCCCACTCTTCCTCATTTTCAACGAATCGCATCCTGACACGTGTCAAGCAGTCCCTCTCTCCTCTCCTCACTCGCCTCGCCGCTCTCTTAGCGCCCCTCTATCACTTCCTCTCAACCCTCTGGCTCTCTCTTCAAACCGTCCCCCTCCTGCCCCTCTCCGTCCTCCCTTACCTTTCTAAACCGTTACAAAATGTCCTCTCAAACCTGATTACAATCAACCCCAAGACACTAAACCTTGACTCTAAAACCCTCAACCTTCAGCCGTTTTTCTTTGTGCATCTGCACCGCCTACGCTCCCTCCTGCCGAGCCTCCTGCCGAGCCTTGCATCCGCCGAGGGCGTGCTGTTAGGCCTGGCAGCGCCGAGCCTGCAGGGCTTGGTTCGGGAGATGGTGGCAGAGAAAGTGGCGGTGCTGGGGGAGGTGCAACTGGCGCTGAGTGCTGCTGCTGGCCAGGTGAGACTAGTGTAGGGGCGTACTGTGCACGCTACAGGCTTTCTAAGCATAGGGTTCAGTGACAAAGGCACAGTGGACCTACGATGGTGGCAGAGAAAGTGACGGTACTGGGGGAGGTGCAACTGGCGCTGAGCGGCGCTGCTGGGCAGGTGAAGGATGGGAGAGGGTACTGGGGGCTTGATGACGTTGGGGTGTAGCCGCTGCTAGGCAAGTTTTGCCGCTCTCTCTGTTTCTGGTCCTCCTTACTGGACAATTAGGCCATTCTTCCCTTTTCTTCCTTCTCTCTTTCCCTTTCCTTGCTTCTCGGTTTCTCTATCTCCCCGCACCTCTCTCCCTGCCCCAGATGTACCTCGCATCTGCTCCCATCCCTCCTCCATCCTCCTTCCCCCCTGCCACCGTCGCAATTACCATTACCACCGCTACCACCACTACCAGCACCACCACCAGCAGCGCTGGCAGCCGTTCCGCCCCTCCCGCTGCACTGGCCCCCCTCCCTGCCGCCGCATCTCCCCCCCATTCCCTCGCTCTGCTGTCTTCTATCCTAGACTCCTGCCACGTGGCAATCACTCAGGCCACAGGGATTGACGGCGAAAAATACTTTACAGGATCAGTGGGGCGTGAGGGGACTGTGGAGGGTGGTGCTTGTAGTGAAGCCAGCAATAACGAGGCAGAAGAGGAGCTGATTGGTGATGGGGTAGGGGCAGGTGGTAACGGGTCGGCCTCAGCAAGAAGGGCTGTGCCTGCTGCATTTGTAACGCCTGCTGCAGCTGTAACGCCAACTCCTGTAACGGCAGAATCTGTGTTGGGCCAGGCGAAGCAGCTCAAGTCGGATGTCAAGGCTCTGGAGAAACTGGTCTCTGCTGCGGTAGGTGGCTGCTGGGGTAGGTGGCTTCTGGGGTAGGTGACTGCTGGGGTAGGTGGCTTCTGGGGTAGGTGGCTGCTGGGGTAGGTGACTGCTGGGGTAGGTGGCTTCTGGGGTAGGTGGCTGCTGGGGTAGGTGGCTGCTGGGGCAGGTGACTGCTGGTGAATGTGGTTGCTGGGCTAGGGGGCTGCTGCGGTCTGCTGCGGTAGGTGGTGGCTGCTGGGGTAGGTGGCTGCTGAAGTGTTGTCATTTGGGGGGCTTGCTGGCCATCAGGAGCGCAATGCCTTGTCACGTTGCAACGTCACCGCACCTCTGTCTCTCGTTGTTTTGAGACACCTCTCCGTGCACGCTATTGTCCACACGTCTCAAAGCGCTTGCTTCCATTCGCATGCCATCTAGCCTCTGGCACATGTGCTTCACAACTCCCATGTCACGTCCCCCCTTCAGCACATGCACTCTTTACCGATTCTCATCGCTTGCCCATTGTTCCCATCCAGGTGTCGCGCTGCCACAGGCCAAGGCATGCGGCACGGCATTGGCTGGAGTACCTGGCAGTAGGGGTGTGCGGAGCAGTGGCGTGTCGGTGGCTGGTGGCACACAGCCAGCTGAGCGGCAGTGACGATCTGGAGAGGTGCGTGGGAGGATGGCTTGATGGCTCGATGATGCGTGTGATGATGCATGGGACGCTGTTCTGAAGATGGGGGCGTCTTTGGAAGGCGGGGGCGTCGTCGGAAGAGGCTGGATGGTGGGCAGTGGGCGGCAGATATGCAAGGCTGTGCAATTTGCTGGTTGAATCGCACATGATAGAGTTGCGTTCTTTGGCAAGATGCGATGCGATTTGTACACAGCTGGGTTCGGGCCAGTACTGTAATTTTGAACCGTCTTTGTCTTGCTTGTTTGTGATCATTTCGGCAGGTGGGGTGCAGATGGGTGGAGAGCAGCGAGAGGGTTTTTCATCGACCACATATGGCAACCTGTAAGCAACAGATTACATGTTGGGTAGCCTTCGGAGTTGCAGGCTCGCACCACCTTAAGGTTGCCTTTTGAGGCGGGACTTAAGAGTCGCACGCACACCACCCCTCCTGCCTCAGCTTGAGTGCCCGCTGCCAGACCCTGCTGCTAGGGCCCACTGCTAGAGCACGCTGCTAGACCCTGCTGCTAGGGCCCACTGTTAGAGCACGCTGCTAGAGCCCGCTGCTAGAGCGTGGTGGAATGGTGTCAAATCAATGCTCCACGTAGAGGCACCTCTGCTCCAGCCCCCACTCCCCGCTCACACCCTATCCACCGCCCCCCCACCACCCCAGGTGTCTGTTATGAGTGTCTGAAATGGAATGGTGCTGGTCGCTCTGCGGATACTTGACACATTCAGAGCGACCAGCAGAGAGGAATGGTGCCAAGTCAATGCTCTCTATCCCTATCCCCACCCCCCTCGCTCCCCATCCTCCCCCCCCCCCAGCTGTCTTTGATCAGCGCGGATCTCTTCCACACGTTCAGCGACCAGCAAAGAGGCAACGTGTCGATGCTCGACGTGCAGGCGTCTACAGACTCATTGAGACGGTGAGGAGGGTCCATGGAGAACGAAGCCAACTGGTGCAGGCTGTGCGCGTTTTGAAGAGTCAGCAGTGACCAGCAGAGGGGCAATGAGTCTATGCAGGATGTGCAAGCCTCTACAGACTCAATGAGTTGGTGGGTGGGAGGGTCAAGAAGAGTCAGCGGTGATCTAGCCGAGTAGAGTGAAAGGCAGTGTGCCCATGTGTGGCGTGCAAGCTTCTACAGACTCCTAAAGAGAGTGAGAGTCAAGGAAGTCACGCGTGGTCCAGCAGAGTCTACAGCGCCCAGCAACGAGGCAGTGTGTCGATGCATGATGTGCACGCAGTGATGAGCACGCAGTGATGTGCACGCAGTGATGTGCACGCAGTGATGTGCACGCAGTGAAGTGCACGCAGTGATGTGCACGCAGTGATGTGCACGCAGTGATGTGCACGCAGTGATGTGCACGCAGTGATGTGCAGGCAGTGGTGTGCACGCAGTGATGTGCACGCAGTGATGTGGACGCAGTGATGTGGACGCAGTGATGTGCACGCAGTGATGTGCACGCAGTGATGTGCACGCAGTGATGTGCACGCAGTGATGTGCACGCAGTGATGTGCACGCAGTGATGTGCACGCAGTGATGTGCACGCAGTGATGTGCACGCAGTGATGTGCACGCAGTGATGTGCACGCAGTGATGTGCACGCAGTGATGTGCACGCAGTGATGTGCACGCAGTGATGTGCACGCAGTGATGTGCACGCAGTGATGTGCACGCAGTGATGTGCACGCAGTGATGTGCACGCAGTGATGTGCACGCAGTGATGTGCACGCAGTGATGTGCACGCAGTGATGTGCACGCAGTGATGTGCACGCAGTGATGTGCACGCAGTGATGTGCGCGCAGTGATGTGCACGCAGTGATGTGCGCGCAGTGATGTGCGCGCAGTGATGTGCGCGCAGTGATGTGCGCGCAGTGATGTGCACGCAGTGATGTGCACGCAGTGATGTGCACGCAGTGATGTGCACGCAGTGATGTGCACGCAGTGATGTGCACGCAGTGATGTGCACGCAGTGATGTGCACGTGTCCACTGACTCCTCAATGAGGTGAGGGTCCGCGAAGCCCGGCTTATGAAGTCAAAGCAGAGAAGCATCAACGCCATATAAAGAACGGAGGAAACACCTCTGCTGGACTGGATGTCTTTCCAAACCTTATCAATCAAAAAGGAACTTCTCTTCCTGTCGATCGCCTTCCCCCCATCCCCGTGCAGAATGCTGCTGACTTTTGTTGACAAGACCCAGCCACTCACAATTGAAGGCAGCAGCAGCAGCACCACCACCGGAAGCAGCGACAGCAGTGCTACATGTGCAGCAGACGCATCTGTGCCTGCAGTCCCCTCGGAGTCTGATCTGATGGCCGTGGTGATGCGCGAGTATGAGAGCAACATGGCCAACCCGCTCACTCACCTCCTCACAGGGCGGTTGGCTGAGGCGCTGCTGATTCAGGTGGGTACTGAGTCTGTTGGTACTGGGTGTGGGCGCTGCTGCTCGTCCAAGCATGTTGCACGCCTGCTCTGGTAAATTCTTCTGTGTTTGCTGACTGCATTTGTGCCCATTCCCCTCCCACTGACCCCATGCTCAGGTCCAAAGGATGAAGCTGCACATCGAAACGTAAGCCTCTCCTATCCCCCGCTTCCACCGACCTTTTGCCCGCTTCCAACGATCCTTCTCTCTCAAACGATCCTTCTCTCTCAAACGATCCTTCTCTCTCAAACGATCCTTCTCTCTCAAACGATCCTTCTCTCTCAAACGATCCTTCTCTCTCAAACGATCCTTCTCTCTCAAACGATCCTTCTCTCTCAAACGATCCTTCTCTCTCAAACGATCCTTCTCTCTCAAACGATCCTTCTCTCTCAAACGATCCTTCTCTCTCAAACGATCCTTCTCTCTCAAACGATCCTTCTCTCTCAAACGATCCTTCTCTCTCAAACGATCCTTCTCTCTCAAACGATCCTTCTCTCTCAAACGATCCTTCTCTCTCACTCCCGCTCTCCATCACCGCCTCCCCTCCCTCTCAGTGCCATGCTAGAGCTTGAGCAGATCCTGAGGGCGAATCAGATCAACTTCGCTCTGCTCACCGCCCTTCCCGCCCTGCTGCTGCTCTCCGCTCTCTTCACCCTCTCCAGGGAATTCTCCGTCTCAAAGGTGAGTTGACTTGAATTGACTTGAGTTGACCTGAGTTGGACCTGAGCTCAGTAACTCAACTTTGCTCTGATCATAACTCTCCCTACCCTGCTGCTGCTCTCTGTTCTCTTCACGCTCTCCCGAGACTTCTCCGTGTCAAAGGCGAGTTAGATTCACACTCTGCTATGCTATGCCCCTCACCCATGCCCCATGCCCCATCCCCACGCCCCCCATATCCCATGTGCCATACCCCGTACACCATACTCAAAATCCATGTCCCCCCATGCCCCATGCCCCGTGCCCCATATCCCATGTCCACCAGGCACGAGGAGCAGAGGGAAAAGGCCGGGTGGCGCAGACAAGACGAAGGATGCTACTCGCTGATGTGGAGCGACATGTGTTGCTGCGTAACCACCTGAAGGCGCTACCAGCTCGCTCATTGAAATCCAAAGATGATGTGGCATCATCGGATGACGTGGCAACGTTGGATGACGTGGCTGCATGGCATGGCATGTTGGTGTATCTGCTGCATCGGCTGTTTGTGGCCGTGCAACGACAAGCCAGCAAGGGCGGCGAGTGGATGCGGTGAGTTATGTGCGGTGCATACTCATGATGACTCACCGCATCATGATTACTCAGGATGACTCACCGCATCATGATTACTCAGGATGACTCACAGCATCATGATTACTCATGATGTAATCAACTAGATGCGGTGATGTTATGATGCCATGCTGCCATCTGCTTGCGTTGACTGCATGCTGCCATGTTGCCATGTTGCCATGCAGCCTCCATGCTGTCAGGTCACCATGCTCACCTGGAGCATGCTCTCCATGCTCACCTGGCTGCCCTCTCTGCTTCCACCCCCTTGCCATGCCCCCCCTGCCATCCCAACAGCCTGCAGCAGGACATACTCGAGATAGCAAGCCCCCATATGGACATGCAGGGCCGGCAGTTGCTAGCAGCACGCATGGCTGGCATGTACGAGTGCCTCATGCCATTGCCCAAGTGAGGCGGTGCCATGAGTTCTCTTGTTCGAAAGCAACGCCCCTGATACCATGTTTCTGTGTTTGCAGTGTGAATGAGCACCATGGATGCCGAGAGAATCCTGCCTCGGTATCCTTAAGAGTTGTTGCCACGCTGAAATAATCCGTCCAGTGGATTTTTTCACACAAACTCCCAGTACCAACAAACTTGCGGTACCATCCTTCCATGACTTGATCCAACAAGTTAAAGCCACCCCCCCCCCCCCGCAAAAAAAAAAAGGTACTGGGAGTTTGTTGCTACCATCCAGCAGTACACACGCTTGACGGTACACAATGGGGTCGAGGGATGGAAGAAACGTGGAAGTGCATTGGCCGTACTATATTGCACACATCACGACTACAATACAATGCAAGCACAATTGTGTTGTATGAGTGAGGCCAATCGCGTGGTGTAATCATCTTTGCGGTGCTGGAAGCTGGAACAGCATTGGAGCGGCGTACGATGCCGTGGACGGCATACTGAAGGCCACACGGTAATAATAAACCCATCCGTCTGCACGATCGTCAGACAGCAGTCAGGACTTGAGCTGCGCATGGCCCTTGGCCGCTATGTGCTTGAACAGCTGGTTCCTGCTCAGGGAAGAGATGGGGGGGAGGGATAGGATAGGTGGGGAAGGAGAGAGGGAGGGGGAGAGGGGGACGGGGGGGGGGGGGGGGGGGGGAAGAGAGAGAGAGAGAAGGGGGAAAGGAGGAATGAGAAGGGAGACACGAGGAGAAGGGCAAGAGGCAGGAGTGGAGTAGGTTCTATTCTAATGAATTGTAAAAGCGAGTCACGGTGGATTGAGCTCACCGGGTATCGAACTCGAGACCACAGATTCCACATGCCAGTGACGGCTGCATTCAGGTGCACGACAGAGATGGGCACAGGGACAAGGGGCATGTGAGCACGTGGCAGCAGTGAAATCTGTGCAAAGCAGAAGCGTCTACTATTGAGGCGCCTAAAAAAACAGAAACACAAATACGTCCATCTCCAGCAATTAAGGAGCGTGTTGCTTCGGTACCCTCCCCCCCTTCCTTCTCTGCCTGCAGACAGCCACTCTAACCACACTACCACGCCATTTCTCTGCCTTTTAGGTGCATCTCGCCACCCCCCTTTCCCCTCTGCGCTGCAAACGGCCACTCTGAATGCACTGTTCGACCCAACCCCTCTGCTCTCACCTCCGAGTTCTTCCCCTTTCTTCTCTCCTTCTTGCCGCCCTTGGTGCCCCTCCCTCCCCTCTCTCCCCCACCATCCACCACCCCTCGACTGCTGATGTCTTCCCCATTCAAGCTCGCTCTAGACCCACTTGAGGTACTTGAGCCCCCCACCGCTCCCTCACCCACTTGACTTCCGCCCTTCCCGCCTGCCCCCTTGGCTGCTCTCCGCCTCCCCTTCTTCCCCTTCCCCTTTGCTACTTCCGCCTCCTCCTCCTCCCCTTCCCCACCTCTCCCCCCTGCTCCCTCACTCTCCTTCCCCTCCTCCTTACCACCTTCGTTATTGTCACCTTCTAGTGCTGCCCCCTGCCCATCCCTATCTCCTGCTGCGTCCTCAGTCGCTTCAGATAAGCCTTCACCAGCAGTACCGTTTTGCTGGCTGTGACTCGTTTCTGCCTGAAAATCCGCTGAGACCCCTGCAGCCGCACTTTCCCCACCCTCCCCCTCGTCTGCTCTCTTCTCCTTTTCTCTCCTCTCCTTCTCCTCCTGTTCTTTCTGTGCTCTCTCCTTCCGCTTCCTCTTGTCAGCCATCTGCTGCCGTGCCAGCATGGCGGCCAGCATGGCCATCTCATCCTCCTCGTCCACCTCCTCTGCCTCTTCCTCCGCGTCCTCATCCTCTTCTTCCTCCTCCTTTTCCTCCTCCACCTCTTCCTCCTCCTCTTCCACCCCTCTCCTGTCGGACCCCTCCCTCTCTTCCTCCTCCACCTCTTCTTCCTCACTCTCCGTCCCCCCAACCACGTCCCCATCCCCGTCTGCACCTCCCTCCTTCCCTTCTGCCATTTCCACCTCCTCCACCTCCTCTCCCTCCTCCCCTTCCACCCCTTCCAGTCCCTCATCCTCCCCACCCTCCCCCTCTTCCCCCTCCTCCCCCTCGCTCTCCTCCCCCGCCTCCATCATTTCATCTGCCAGCAACTCAGCTCGGAGCTCTTCCAGTCGCTCCAGGTGCTTCTTGCTTCTCTCATGGTTCGCCAGCTGCTGCATGCTCCTGAACACCTTACTGCACACCACACAGTACGGCTCGTCAATCCCCTCCTCCCCCTCCCCATCCTCATCCCCAACCCCATTCCCATTCCCAACTGTGCTCCCTGCCCCCTGCACGCTGCCTCCGCCCCTTGCCCCGCCCTCCTGCCTGCCCTTCTTTTTCTTCTTCTTCTTGCTCCCCCCTGCCTCCGTGCCTAACCCCTCACCCTCCCCATTCCCCACTGTTTCCGGCTTGTCTAGCCCTGGGCCCCCCCCTGCCCCTGCCCCTCCCTTTCCTTTTCCCTTCCCCTTCCCCTTCCGCCCACCCTTCTTACTCTCCCCAAACCAATCATCATCCTCCTCCTCCACCCTCCCCGCCCTCCTCCCCTTCCGCCTCCCCTCCCCCTCCCCACCCGCCACTCCTCCCCCCTCCACTCCCTCCTCCCCATCCTCCTCCTCCTCCCCGTCCTCCTCCCCCTCCTCCCCTCCCCGTGCCCACTCGGGCTCCTCGTACTCCTGCGCCCTCCGCGCCTTCTCCCTCCGCTCCTCCTCTCTCCGCCTCTTGGCTTCCGCTTCTCTCTCCGCCGCCACCCTCCGCGCCTCCGCCTGCTGCTCCTTAACGCGCGGGTCGCGCTTCTTGACGAAAGCCGCCAGCTGGCGGACAGCCTCGTTGAACTCGCGCTTGGCTCGCCGCCGCAGCTTCGCGTTCTCCTCCTCCATCAGCCGCCGCACCTGTGCACGCCGGGGGGGGGGGGGGGGAGATAAGGCAGATGAGGCAGATATGGCAGATACAGCTTAGGGGCACACTGATCCGGTTTCCAAATAGCTTCGCGTTCTCCTCCTCCATCAGCCGCGCCGCACCTGTGGATGTGGCGGGGAGGGGGATGCGGGAAAAACAAGGCAGATGAGGCATAGGGGCATAATGGTGCGGTGTCGGAGGGTCTCCACTCAGGCCCCCGCAGCTTCGCGTTTTCCTCCTCCATCAGGCGCCGCACCTGTGGATGTGGGGAGCAGGAGGGGAGACAGGTACAAGGCACAAGGAATATCAATCGCATGAACCCTCCGGGCCGTACTCCAAACCTCGCACCCTGAACCCCGAATCCTATCCCTTGCATATCCTATGCCACGCCTCACAGCAGTCTGCACTAGCACCCGAAACCCTAAGCCTCCACAGAGTCCCCCCCAGCCGTCCCCATTTCTCACCCGTCGGTTGGGCGCTTCGTTCAGGTTGTACTGATCCTTCCACGCGAAGTCGCGCACGCTCACGAACGACTGCCAGAACTTGAAGAACGCTGACACGTCAGCAGCTGAGCTGTCCCTCTTCCCCAACGGCGGCGCCGACATCTCAATCTCCTCCCCCTTCTTCGCTGCGCGCCGAGCCGCTGCGACTTCCTTCTCGAAAATCTCGTCAAAAACCTCCGCATAGACGGCGTAAAACCCTTCGCCGGTGTCGCCATAACCAGAGTACGCCGAGGCGGAGAAGTAACCCCACAGGTCGAGATCTTCGTCTTCGCAAGAATGGTTTTCGCCATGGTGGTGGCTGTCGCCGCGAAGGATCGAATCCCGATGGCCGTCGTACCACGCTCGCTCGTGCTTGTCGCTCAACACTTCGTACGCGCTCTGGATCTGCTTGAACATGGCTGTAGCGTGCTCGACATTGTTCTGGTTCTTATCGGGATGCCACTGTAATGCGAGCTTGCGATATGCGGATTTGATCTCGTCCGCTGATGCGGATCGATCGACGGCCAGCACCTCGTAGTGGCACCGCATCGTGATGGTGACGTGGCAAAGCCCGAATCAGGATTCTATACGACGCTCAGACTACCGATAAGCGTGACTCACAGCTAACACACCCGCCTGCCGTGATGTGGTGATCTGACTACGAAGTGGAATGCAAGCAAGCTTGATCCCTAAGCAACCCATGATGAGCAGGGAAAGGATGCTGGGCAAGGATGCGGTATAGATTGATCAGGGCATCGTTATAGGGGCATCGTAACACATTTTACGTTTGTATTTTTTATCTTACCGCGCTGAAATGTTGTAAATAGAGTCAAAGCATTTGTGGCCATAATAAATATATACGTGTCTTTCTGGGCAAGTTTTTCTGCAAACGGGGAGTTCTGTATGGAGATATTTGATGAGCTGCTGCCTCGGGAGCGTCAGCAGCACTCTTCCTTTCTTGATGGCTGGCGAAACCAGTTTCTAGGTTGCATTGCAACTAGGTTCCAGCTTCCAGAAACCCTTCTGGTCATGACATCACGGCACTTCTGTAGGAAGCCATGATTAGTCGATGCCGGGAATCGATCCGTAGCTATTACGTCGTGTATTAGCGATTCCTAACACCTGCTTATGGTGCCCCGCGAATAGGAATCCCTTATTTATGGCGCACACTCAGAATGACCGGGCGAGGGGCAACTCGTCCATGTCGGGTGGCCGCGTCATCATCCACGTGGACCTCGACTGCTTCTACGCCGCGGTGCGCTTTAGGTTCTCTCGCAATCGCTTAGATTGTTGGGCGGCACATACATGTGGCTAGGTAGGAGTGTGCTAGTGGGGAACGTAACTGCGAGTAGACTTTTGAGTCGACTCAAAAGTCAGATTGTTTGGCCTCATATATACGTGGCTAGGTAGGAATGTGCCAGTAGGGAACGTAACTGCGAGTAGGCCGTGCCTCTGGTTCTCGTTTCGTATTCCGATTACCTCCGTCCTTCTTTTCAATTCAGTCACTTGTAACATTTATCTCGTCGTCTAATCATTCTGACCCACTCTCTCACTGACTGACATTCCTCGGTTTCTCCAAATGTCCGACTGAACCAATGTCGCACTGACCGGATGTGTCACTACCTCACAGGTGGAGGCCGTTCGGCTGGGGTATTCCCCGGGACACGCCCCTGGCCGTGCAGCAGTGACCCCAATGACCAAATGTCTGACTGACCCCATCCTGTTGGCGTGTTGCACAGGTGGAGGCCGTTCGGCTGGGTATGCCCCGGGACACGCCCCTGGCCGTGCAGCAGTGGGAGGTGAGGACATGTCGGGTGCATGCATGGCTATGGACTTATCAGACTATTAAATCATGCATGGATATGGGGTTATCGGGCTATCAGGTCATGCGTGGATATGGGGTTATCGGGCTATCAGGTCATGCATGAGTATGGGCTTATGGGGCTATCAGGTCATGCGTGGATATGGGGTTATCGGGCTATCAGGTCATGCATGGATATGGAATTATCCGCCGTGACCTCTGGGTAACCTCGTTCTGCCTAGTGGTCTCGTGCAGCGAGGCGTTATAATCCCCCATCTTTCTGTGTTGAACCTAACCATCGTTCCTCCAAACGTACCCCCTGCTCTCTCTCCGTCAGGGCCTGATAGCAGTGAACTATGCGGCGAGGGCGAGGGGAGTGCAGCGACACGACCGCGTGTTCCAGGCCAAACAGAAGGTAGATGTGGGTATGCGCTGCTGACAAATACTGGCCGCTGCTGGCCACGGCTGGCCGCTGTTCCTTGTCTGCTGTGCCTTACGTGCTGCCTGCCAGTGCCCAGAGTGTGCCACTACCCCCCGTGCCACTACCCGCCGTGCCACTACCCGCCGTGCCCATACCCCCCGTGCCACTACCCACCGTGCCACTACGCTCCGTGCCCACTACCCACCGTGCCACTACCCCCCGTGCCACTACCCACCGTGCCACTACGCTATGTGCCCACTACCCACCGTGCCACTACCCCGCATGCCACCACTACCCCGCTGTGCCACTACCCCCGGTGCCACTACCCGCTGTGCCACTACCTGCCGTGCCACTACGCCCCGTGCCATTACCCACCGTGCCACTACCCATCGTGCCACTACCCTGCATGCCACTACCCCACCGTGCCATTACCCCCGGTGCCACTACCCACCGCGCCACTACCCACCGTGCCACTACCCACCGTGCCACTGCCCATCGTGTCACTACCCCGCACGACACTGCCCCGCCGTGCCACTACCCCCGGTGCCACTACCCACCGTGCCACTACCCCCGTGCCACTACCCTCCGTGCCACAACCCGCCGTGCCACTACCCACCGTGCCACTACGGCCCGTGCCACTACCCACCGTGCCACTACCCCCGGTGCCACTACCCACCGTGCCACTACCCCCCGTGCCACTACCCACCGTGCCACTACGCTATGTGCCCACTACCCACCGTGCCACTACCCCGCATGCCACCACTACCCCGCTGTGCCACTACCCCCGGTGCCACTACCCGCTGTGCCACTACCTGCCGTGCCACTACGCCCCGTGCCATTACCCACCGTGCCACTACCCATCGTGCCACTACCCTGCATGCCACTACCCCACCGTGCCATTACCCCCGGTGCCACTACCCACCGCGCCACTACCCACCGTGCCACTACCCACCGTGCCACTGCCCATCGTGTCACTACCCCGCACGACACTGCCCCGCCGTGCCACTACCCCCGGTGCCACTACCCACCGTGCCACTACCCCCGTGCCACTACCCTCCGTGCCACAACCCGCCGTGCCACTACCCACCGTGCCACTACGGCCCGTGCCACTACCCACCGTGCCACTACCCCCGGTGCCACTACCCCCGTGCCACTACACCCCCCGTGCCGCTACCCCCATGTATCGGAGCGCTACCTGGGGGCTTCCCTGCAGCTCCTCACGCCATGCGTGTGGCATGCGCTGCTGTTCGCTGTCTGCTGTGCCTTGTGTGTTGCCAGTGCCCCGAGCTGCAGCTCGTGCACGTGGAGACCATCGGCTGTGCACCGGGGGCGGGCCGCAACTCAGGCAAGGTGTCGCTGGAGCGCTACCGGGCGGCCTCGCAGCGCGTGTTTGACACGTTCCGAAGGGTGTGCCCTAAGGTGGAACGGGCGAGCATCGACGAGGCGTACATGGACGTGTCCGCCATGGTGGGTATTCTCCTCTCTCTGTGCTACCGGGCGGCCTCTCAGCGCGTGTTTGATGCTTTTGGAAGGGTGTGCCCCAAAATGGAGCGGGCGAGCATGGATGAAGCATAGATGGACGTGTCGCCCATGGTGGGTCTGTTCTGTTTGTTGTCTTTACCTCTTCAGGCAGGGTATGAATGGCTCTCTGATGCCTTCCGCTGGGTTCAGCAGCTTGCAGTGAGGCGGCTTGATTCAACTCACTTATCACTGAGAGGAGTTGGCTCCTGCACCTTGCCCCTGTCTCATCTTGTGCCTGCAGGTGGATGACATGCTCGCACAGTCACAGCCTGCTGTTCTGCCTGCACCAGGTGAGGCCTGCACGGCCACAGGTGCTGCCTCCGATGCTGCTGGGTGGGAGGAGCGATGGAGGGCGCTATTAGAGAGCGTGACTGAAGTGAAGGAAGAGGGTGTGACTGAGACAAAGGAAGAGGGTGTGAATGAGACAAAGGAAGAGGGTGTGAATGAGACAAAGGAAGAGGATGTGAATGAGACAAAGGAAGAGGGTGTGACTGAGACGAAGGAAGAGGGTGTGATTGAAACGAAGGGCGAGCAGACTGAAGGAAGTGGCGCTGGTGGTGGTGAGGGCAGGATGGGTGGGGAAGGTTCAGCAGAAGGTGGAGAGAATGACCAGGTACAGGACCAGAAAAAGGCGCAAGAGCGGCTGCAAAGGCAGCAGCACGAGCAGCAGAACTTGCAGCAGGAGCAACAGCAGCAGCAGCAGCAGCAACAGCAGCAGCAGCAGCAGCAGCAGCAGCAGCAGCAGCAGCAGGGAGGGATGACTAGAGAGCACGAAGGGGTGGAAGGTCACGGATCACTTCTGAAGGAGGTGCAGAAGGCACGACTGGTGGTGAAGGAGGGACCCCTGGACGCATGTGACTATATGGAGAGAAGGTGAGCACCATGTGACCTCTAGAGTGGAGGTGAGAATGACATGCCCGTATGCATGTTCCTGTTCCACCTTGCCTTCCTCTCCCCTCCACACCTCTCCCCTCCACATCTCTATCTGCACGCATTCTCCAATTCCTGTAATGGCCCATCGTGCCTGGATGCAAGCTGTTCGCATCTCCTCCGTCCCTCTCTAACCTTCTGGCTGCAGTGAGCAGTCCTAGCCTCTCTGGGCTTCACTAACATTGTGAGCGTGGCTGGGGCGGGGCAATGACTCTATGCGGAGCATCTCTTTCCTTCCTTCTGAACCCCCCAGGCTGCAAGCAGGGGTGGTGATAGCGCACAGGATACAGCAGGAGGTGCTGGCATCGCTGGGCTACACGGTCAGCGTGGGCGTGGCGGGCAGCAAGCTGCTGGCCAAGATGGGATCCGCCATGACCAAGCCGTTCGGCATCACTGTGGTGAGCTGACGTGGCAGGATGCCATGTGGCGTTGTGGTGAGCTGACGTGGCAGGATGGCATGTTGCGTTGTCGTGAGCTGACGGGGCAGGATGGCATATCTTTGTGTGAGTGGCCGCATGGCAAAGTGTTTTCACTCTGCTCTGTTGTACTTCGGACTTGAATTGACACTCATGTGGTCCATATCCGTGCGTGCTTTCCTAAGGTTCCACGTGCCAATGTTGTAAACATGTTTTTCGAGAACAGAAGCTTCCGCCCCCCCCGAATTCCCCCCAGGTGCCTCCCCATGCTGAGGCATACCCCCCTCAAGTTGCCTCTCTCTACCCCCAAACCCCCTGCAGGTGCCTCGCCGAGCTGTGCCTGCGCTCATGCAAGACGTTCCTCTAAAGAAAATCCGCAACTTGGGCGGCAAACTGGGGCAGGTGAGGATGGCGGACTGGGCCTCAAGGTTGGAAGACGAATTGGGCATGAAAAGGAATAGTTGGGCGAGTACCAGTTTTGGCATGAAGATTGTAATAGGAGCATTACGGCTGCTCGGATTTAGGTTGCTGCTAAAGGTTTCACTGCTGGCTCACACAGGATTCTTGGGTCTGCTTGTATCGAGGATAACTGCCAACACACCGTTTGCTGCCCCTTTCAGGAGCTCCAGGAAATGGGATGCGCAACAGCTGGCCAGGCACAGGCGCTTCTCCTCCCGGACCTCATCGCGCGGTTCGGGGAGAGGCTTGGGAACTATGTGTGGCGCGCTGTGAGGGGGCTGGATGAAACACCAGGTGCACTCATCCCTCTCCTGCCAAACTCTCCGCAAGGCAAACTCTGCCTCTGTTCTCCTCTTGCCTCCCCACTCCGTGTGATTTCCGCTCTCCACCGTCTCCATCGACTTATCCCTCCCCTCGACTCTTTTGCTCTTTTGTGCTCTTTCTCGTTCACCCTTTCTCTTCCTGTCTGGTATTGCAGTGGAGGAGAAGGGCGTTCCCAAGTCGATGCTAGCAGCCAAGTCATTCAACGCCACGTCATCATGGGATGACATCAGGTGAGTCCACGTCATCATGCGATGACATCAGGTGAGTCCACGTCATCATGGGATGACATCAGGTGGGGCCACGGCGACCAGCAGAGGATGGATGGCGACCAGCAGTGGGTGGATGGCGTCCAGCAGTGGGTGGCTGGCGTCCAGCAGTGGGTGGCTGGCGTCCAGCAGTGGTTGGCTGTCGCACGAGGGCATGCCGCCCGAGGGGACGCCGCCCGAGTGCAGGCCGCCCGAGGGGATGCCACCCAAGGGGATGCCACCCGAGGGGATGCCACCCGAGGGCAAGCCGCCCGAGGGCATGCCGCCCGAGAGGATGCCGCCCGAGGGGATGCCGCCAGAAGGGATGCCGCCCGAGGGGAGCCGCCCGAGGGGTTGACGCCCGAGGGCCTGCCGCCCGAGGACATGCCACCTGAGGGCATGCCACCCGAGAGCATGCCGCCCGAGAGCATGCTGCCCGAGGGGATGCCGCCCGTGGGGATGCCGACCGAGGGGATGCCGCCCGAGGGCCTGCCGCCCGAGGACATGCCACCTGAGGGCCTGCCGCCCAAGGGGATGCCGCCCGAGGGCATGTCGCCCGAGGGCATGCCGCCCGAGGGCATGTCCCCCGAGGACATGCCGCCCGAGGGGATGCCGCCCGAGAGAATGCCGCACGAGGGGATGCCGTCTGAGGGCATGCTGCCCAAGGACATGCCGCCCGAGGGCCTGCCTCCCGAGGGCCTGCCGCCCGAGGGCGTGCCGCCCGAGGACACGCCGCCTGAGGGCATGCCGCCCTAGGGGATGCCGCCCGAGGACATGCTGCCCGAGGGCATGCCGCTGAGGGCATGCCGCCCGAGGGGATGCCACCCGAGGGGATGCCGCCCGAGAGCATGCCGCCTGAGGGGATGCCGCCCAAGGGTATGCCGCCCAAGGACATGCTGCCCGAGGGGAGAGCTTGCCGCCCGAGGAGATTCCGCCCGAGGGCATGCCGCCCGAGGGCCTGCTGCCCGAGGGGATGCCGCCCGAGGGCATGCCGCCGGAGGGCATGCTGCCTGAGGGGATGCTGCCCGAGGGCATGCCGCCCGACGAAATGCCGCCCGAGGGCATGTCGCACGAGGGCATGCCGCCCGAGGGGATGCCGCCCGAGGGGATGCCGCCCGAGGGTATGCCGCCCGAGGACATGCCGCCAGAGGGCATGCCGCCCGAGGGCGTGCCGCCCGAGGACAAGCCGCCAGAGGGCATGCTGTCCGAGGGGATGCCGCCCGAGGGCAAGCCGCCCGAGTGAGACCTTGCCAAGTGAGACATTGCCAAGTGAGACCTTGCCAAGTGAGACCTTGCCAAGTGAGACCTTGCCAAGTGAGACCTTGGCAAGTGAGACCTTGCCAAGTGAGACCTTGCCTAGTGAGACCTTGCCAAGTGAGGCCTTGGCAAGTGAGACCTTGCCAAGTGAGACCTTGCCAGGTGAGACCTTGCCAAGTGAGCCCTTGCCAAGTGAGACCTTGCCAAGTGAGACCTTGCCAAGTGAGACCTTGGCAAGTTAGACCTTGGCAAGTGAGACCTTGCCAATTGAGACCTTGCCAAGTGACACCTTGCCAAGTGAGACCTTGCCAAGCGAGACTCTGACAAGTGAGACCTTGGCAAGTGAGACTTGGGAAAGTGAGACCTTGGGAAGTCCGCCAACCACCCAAGTCCGCCAACCACCCAAGCCCGCCAACCACCCAAGCCCGCCAACCACCCAAGCCCACCAACCACCCAAGCCCGCCAACCACCCAAGCCCGCCAGCCACCCAAGCCCGCCAACCACCCAAGTCCGCCAACCACCCAAGTCCGCCAACCACCCAAGCCTGCCAACCACCCAAGACCGCCAACCACCCATGCCCGCTAACCACTAAAAACGTGGGTGGCTGGCGTCCAGCTGTGAGTGGCATGAGCCAGGAGGGTGAGCTGGTTTTAGCTCTTGCTGCTGCTGTTGTCATGCACTATCAAGACCGAAGACCTGCCCTAGTCTCTACCTCATCCCCCCCCCTGCCCACCCGCAACCCTTCCCTGTATCCCGCCTTCCCCCTCTTGTTCCCCCTCTTCCGCTTCCCCCTTCACCCTTCCGCCGTCCCCCCTCCCCCTTGCTCCAACGTTCCCCCTCTAGTCGCTGCACTCACATGCTGAGGACGCCAGAGACAGTAAGCGTGTCTGAGTCGACATAAAGCACACCTCCCCCTCCTCCCCCCTTTCAGTAGGCTCAAAAGCCCCTCCCTCCCTCCCCTTCTCCCCCCTCCCCCCTCCCCAATCCTCGCCCCGTCTCCCCATCGCTGGATGGCCATGTTGGCTGAAGAGCTCTCTTCTCGTTTGCTCAAGGACCCAACATCGTCCCCCACGTCCTTCGCCCTCTCACAGTCGCTGGTCGGCCAACTTGGCTCAGGAGCTCTTTACCTGCATGCTCAAGGACGCCAAGGACAACAAGCGTGTATTCTGAGTCGACTTTAATGGCACATTCCCTCCCACCTCCCCCCACGTCCTTCCCCCTCTCCCAGTCCCTGGACGGCCGTGTTGACTCAAGAGCTCTCCTCTCGAATGCTCAAGGACCCAAAAGCTTCCCCCACCTCATTCCCTCGAGCAGTCCTCTGTTGTTGGGAAACCTTGTTTCAGTCCTCGGCTTCCCCCACCTCATTCCCTCGAGCAGTCCTCTGTTGTTGGGAAACCTTGTTTCAGTCCTCGGCTTCCCCCACCTCATTCCCTCGAGCAGTCCTCTGTTGTTGGGAAACCTTGTTTCAGTCCTCGGCTTCCCCCACCTCATTCCCTCGAGCAGTCCTCTGTTGTTGGGAAACCTTGTTTCAGTCCTCAGCTTCCCCCACCTCCTTCCCCCTCTCCCAGGCGCTGGACGGCCATGTTGGCTCAAGAGCTTTCCTCTTCCTGAATGCTCAAGGACCCGAAAGCTTCCCCCACCTCATTCCCCCTCTCCCAGTCGGTGGATGGACATTTTGGCTCAGGAGCTTTCATCCCGAATGCTCAAGGATGCAAAGGACAACAAACGCCGCCCGCGCTCCCTGCACTTGCACTACAGGGGCGGGATCACTGGCAGTGATGGTGGTGGTGGTGGCAGCGGTGGGGGGTGGGGGGGAGGGGGAGGAGGGGAGAAGTCGCGGTCATGTGGCATGCCTCGAGAGATAGAGAGGTTGATAGAGGTGTTTGTGGATAGACGGTGCAGGGGGGGAGAGGAAGAGAGGATGGTGGAGGGTGAGGAGAGGAGAGGGGAGAAGGGCGACGAGGGGAGGCTTGAGAAAGACGCAGAGGGTGGGGAAACAGTCTCAAGAGGCACAGGGGTGGAGGAGAAGGCGGGGTTAGAGGGCCCTCAACCCACGGATGTGGGAGGCACAGGCGTGGGTGTGGGAGAGGGTGGTTTAGGGTGGGGAGGGTGGATGGAGGAAGAGAGGAAGAAGATGCAGACGATGCTGTGTGCCGCTGGGCTCAGACTGCTGGCAGGGGGCAGTAGTCATCCCAGTCAACATAGTCAACCGAGTCCGCAGAGCCACCCATCGCACTCAACCCAGCCCCTCTCCTGGGCGCCTTGCTCCCGCCTTGCCATGTCAGCCACGGGATTCGAGCAACTCAGAATCAAGGTGGCTATTGTTTTCATAAACTCTTTCAAGAGAAAGAAAAGCACGCAACAGTGTGTCGGCGTGTGTGCTATGTGATGGCACGGCTTGCACGCCGTTTGGTCGTAGTTACGTGTGATGGCATCATGGCAAGACACGTGTTGCGCATGGCTATGCATGTGGTTGCCCACTCACCCTTCTCCCCCCGTCTGATCCTGTTTAATTTAAACTCACCCCAATCCGTCCCTTTCCATCGCATGCCCATGCCCACCGCACCCCCACACGCCAGGGCATGCGGTCCATCGATCAGATGTTCTCAGGCCGAGCAGGTCGCCCAAGTGCTAGCACCCATGAAACAGGCGCACACAACCCCAGCCATGCCCCCGTGGCAAGCCGCCCCAGCACAGATGCTGACGCCACAAACCATGGGGTCTCCGTTTCAAGCTAAGTTGGTTCCTTACGTTACGTTTACGTACGTGTACGTTTACGTTTACGTACGTTTACGCGATTCTGGTTTTAGGCCTGAATGTACGGGCAGTCTAAAAAAATTTAGGCTGCCCAAGGGAAAAAAATGGGGGGGATGGAAAGCCGACTTTTGTAAAAACGTTTGTAGGTTCTGATCTTCTAGTAGAAGATTATCACGAGTGGGGTGCGACGAAAGTCACAAATTGTTTAGCGAAATTCCGCATGCGCGAAATCTCGTCGCTGGTGCGCATCAAATTTGGTGCCCCGGCAATCCAACCCGTCAATGAACAACCCCTACCTAACCCAACCCAACCCCCCTCGACATGTGTTTCTCCTTCCTCCCTCGACGAATGCCAATCGCTAACCTTACTCCAGCGACAATCAAGTCTAGACTACGTAGCATCTTACGACTAGGAGGAACGCGTATACTATCAGCGCAACGAATTTAGTTGCGACTTAGATTGATGGGGTAGATCAGTGCGGAGCGTAGGCATTAGCCGTAGCCTAGCCCTGAACAGCCTAGTAGTAGTTGTAAATCGCGTTTTCTTAGGGGGAAAATTTTGCCCGGGAAAAAAAATTTGAGGCCTGCCCGGCGACGTACACGTAACGTACGCGTAACGTAACGTACCCGTAAAGTTACGCGTACTTTACGTGTACGTGGGCTAAAGTCACGTAAGGTACCAACTTAGGTTTCAAGCAACCCCACATCTGCTCCAGGAGCGACCCACGAGTCCCCTTCGCCTTTGCTGAGGGCTTTTAGTCGAGGCTCCGCCTTGCTAAGAGACAAGCATAGTGCCGCTGCCTCTGCTGGTGCAGCTGCCTCTGCTGGTGCCGCTGCCTCTGCTGGTGCCGCTGCCTCTGCTGGTGCTGCTGCCTCTGCTGGTGCCGCTGCCTCTGCTGGTGCAGCTGCCTCTGCTGGTGCCACTGCCTCTGCTGGTGCCGCTGCCTCTGCTGGTGCCGCTGCCTCTGCTGGTGCAGCTGCCTCTGCTGGTGCCGCTGCCTCTGCTGGTGCCGCTGCCTCTGCTGGTGCCGCTGCCTCTGCTGGTGCAGCTGCAACTGCTGTTGAAGCTGCCTCTGTTGGTGCCGCTGCCTCTGCTGGTGCAGCTGCCTCTGCTGGTGCCGCTGCCTCTGCTGGTGCAGCTGCCTCTGCTGGTGCCGCTGCCTCTGCTGGTGCCGCTGCCTCTGCTGGTGCAGCGGCTGCTCTTAGCGCAACACTTGGTGAACAGGGTGGGATGATGGGGAGAGGAGCTGGCGATGGGGGGGAGGGGAGAGGCGTTGAGGCCAATGGAAGGTGTGTGAAGCGGGGGGTGGAGCAGGAAGTAGCAGCAGGAAAGGCAGAAGGAGGGGCTGTGGAAGGGGGCATTCAGGAGGGTTGGGAGGTGAAAGATAAGGGTGGGGCAGTCATGGGGGAAAGAGGGGGGGTTGAAGGGGAGGGCAACTCTGGAGAGGAGAAGGGAGAGGGGGGCTGTGACGGAATGGAGAGGGGTAAGAGGGAGAAGGGGTTCAGAGAATTGCAAGGTAGGGTGGGGGGAGGAGAGGAGGGTCAAGGGTCACGGGGGAAGGGAGATTTAGGGAGATTGAAGGCAGCAGGGAGAGGGAGAGGAGGGAGGGGAGGGAAAGTGAGGGGTGGTAAAGGAAGAGCGAGCTCACGCAGCACAGGGGCTTCAGTCGAAGGGGCCCTGGTGAGGATGCTTGGCCAGAGAAGAGTGAGGGATGCGGATATAGATGCGAGGGGGAGGGATGCGGATATAGATGCGAGGGGGAGGGATGGGGATATAGATGTGGGGGGAGAAGGCGGATATAGAGCGAGGGGAAGGGATGCGGATGTAGAGGAAAGGTGCCGTTTGGGAGTGGTACCAGGAGATATAGAGGTGAGGGGTGATGTGGAAGGGGTGGCGGCTGGTGCGGCAAGCTTTGCTGCATATGACCACATGGAGCAGGAGGAGGTTACAGACGGAGGAGGCTGGGCCGGCTGTGAGGAGAAGGGGGAAGAGACAGACTGCGAGGAGTCTGAGGAGCGTGGATGTGGGTCGGAACGAAAGAAGCAACGAGTTGATAGGAGGGACGACGGTATGGTGGGAGGCAGCAAGATGGATGATGAAAATGCATCGGAGGGAATGGGGGTTATTGATGGAAAGACGCAAGATAGTGCGGCTGGTGTGGGGGGGGGATCGGCTGGTGTGCCAGGACATGGCGGTGCCAATGGCTGTGGGGAGGATGCACATTGTGGTGCGGGAGAATGGGAGGGTCACCACCAGCCACCTACTTCGTTTCAAGAGCGTATTGAGCCATCCGGTTCGGCCCTGGGGGCTTCTCACTCTCCCTCGTCTTCCACTTTATGTGGGTTTGATTTCTCGGCTGTGGACGTCAAGCAGCAGCAGCGACTCTTGGCATGCTTCTCCCGACAGCATATCAAGTCGTCGCCAGAGAGTTCAGGGGACAAAGCTAGAGACAAGGGAAAGAAAGTAGTGAAGAAGAGTGGGATGGGTAGAAGTAAAGGTCAAAGCAACAAGGGAAAGCAAGAAAGGCAGCAGAAGATTGGGAGTTACTTCGGCACTGGTTCGTAACACTGGCAATCCGTGGAATTGACATGAGACGAGTTAGTACCCTTTTCCAATGTGTGTGTATGTCCTCATCTGATGCATACTACATATTGTCTGAAAATTCTGCCTGCGTTTTCGTCTCAAATTCATTCGGTTATAGCGAATACACGTGAGTCGTGACCACAGCATGCATCAGGGCATGGCGGTCCTCCTGACAAGACAATTTGACGTGGCATCCGGCTGCCAACCAATCAGCGTGGCGCTTTACCTCATCCTCTAGACAACACCGCATGGTGACTTTCGCTCTGACAAGGATGACAACCAGATTTCGCCATCTTTTGTAACAGTAAGATTTCGGTCTTCTGTGGGTGAGTGCCTGCTTCCATGTGTCACTACTTTACGTGAATGATTTCGTCGCAAATGTTCGCAGAAAGCACCACCACAGCCAAGTAATATCCCACCAGCACTGCAATGACGCATGGTAGAGCAGAAGTGGCATCAATTAGAGCAGGGAATGTTGTTGTGATGCTCGTGAGCGGAGATTAGTCCGTAAGCTCTAGTTGCTGTATCCTTTTCCACTTCAGCTAATACCGTAGCTCCGCCTGCCCTACTGCAGCGTCGTTAGCTTGAAAGCTCAGGAAAGCGAAGGCTCGTATTGAATCGTCGAGCGAAGGCTTTCAAGCAAAAGCTTGAAACTTCCATTCGCAAGCAAGAACGGCGAGCGCGTTGAGTCGTCGATTCGTCAGTCCCTGAACTCCTCTCGATTTTCGCCTTTTCAGCTTTTCCCGTCAACCATTTCTGTGCACCGACTGGTGAATACGATATGGCAGACCGGCATAGTCTTGTGAAACCAGTTTACCGTGCTCTGGTTGCCGCGACGAAACGGCTCGCATCGGAAATCGAGCGGCACAAGACGAACGACGTCTTCTCTCTGGTTCGTGCTCGCGAAACTGACGACTTCTGCTTATTCTTATCATTTTCAACCAGAATTTTGAATTCATGGCATTTCCTGGTTCTGATGCTGGCCATTTGCAGCTGAGTCGTTTTCACGAAACCGCTCCTCGTTGCTGACTCCCCATCCTTCCCCGACCATCTTCCATGGCAGTCCGAGGTGTCATGGCTGCAGGACAACACGCCCGGCGCTCTACGAGCCATCAATCGCGGGAGAGACGCGTCCCTGGCGCTGCTACGGCAGGAATTCAGAATACCGCTCGCGGGAGAGCCGGGCTCCGTGCAAGCCCAGGTAAGAACGAGCTTCGAGATGGGTTGGTTGCGAGTTCAGTGTGATATTCAGTCGCATTTACGACGGTCTCAGTGCAGTTGAATGTATTTGCCTCTGCAAGTTTGGAATGAAAGTAATTCCAGCCTCTGTTCGCCCTTTTTATAGCCATTAACTCCCTTACTCCTCCCCCAACCCCCCACCCCCCCGCTCCCCTCTCCTTTCTCCCATGTTGGCAGGAGGACTCGGGTCAACGGCTGGATCAAGCCCTGTCGCTGCTGGCTGTGCTGAATCGACGGCTGGCAGTGCTGCAGACGCACTCTGCGTCTGATCACAGCGACAATACGAGCCATGGCGTGCGCGTGGAGGTGCAGAGCAAGTTCCAAGTCATGGACCAGATCCACTTCGGCGCGCTCTACCACTACAGAGTAACGATTTCCCACCCCTCCTCCCCCTTTTCCCCTCCTCCCAATAGATATTAGTTTCTCCTCATCCGTCCTAATCCGTGGTGACATTTCGAGCCATGGGATTCGAGTGGAGGTGCAGAGCAAGTTCCAAGACATGGACCAGATCCACTTCGGCTCTCTTTCCCCCCAATCCCCCCTCCCCTCCTCTCCCCCCCCCCCCCAAAGATGACTCAGAAGCCCCCCCCCTTCCATCCCCCCTCTTTCCATTATCTTCTTCTTCCTGCTTCCCTCTCCCTCTTCCCATCTCCTCCCACCCCAGCCCCTCATTCTCTCCATTTTCTTCCTTCTCCCTCTCGTGTTTGCGGTTCCCTGATCCTTGATTGGTGCCGTTGTTGCTCCGTGCACGTTCCTAGTTCTGTCGCCGATCATGCTTGCGCTGGATGGCTTGCATCCGTGGTCGTCTTGCCTCCGTTCGCTTTGCTGCTCTCCAGGTGCGCATTCGCAACGAGGGGGTGAACGAGCCCGTGCAGCTGGTCAGCAGGCAGTGGGTCATCAAGGACTTCGACGGGAACATTCAGGAGGTCAGTCATGTCAGAGGAAGCTGTGATACTGTGGCTTGTGTCATGCGAGCAGCGAAAGTGTGGTTTGAGCTCTGTGCTTTGCTCTGGAAGGAAGTATAGAGCCCTGCTTGAGGAAATGCAGGAGGTTCATGCATCCCTTGCCAGCAAAATGTATACCTTAATGTGTTCACCATGTTCCATTCTTCATTTCCTTCGCCAGGTGATTGGTCCTGGCGTGATTGGCAAGCAGCCCATCTTGGATCTTGGGTCGGAGTTTGAGTACATGAGCTATACGCCCTTGCCGTCCAAGCGGGGCACCATGCACGGCAGCTTCCTCATGCTCGCATGCAACTCCAACCGGCTGTTCGACGTGCAAGTGGGGCCGTTTGGACTCATCCCCCCTCCCCGTCCTCACGACGCCTTGGGGGTTATGAAAGGGCAGTCTCTCACAGAGGCCTAGATGATGATGAGGAGGAGACGGCCGTAGGGTCTCATAGGCTCAAGCGTGCACTCTTTGTACAGGCATCATGCCTTTTTAAACGCTGCTTTGTGCCCGTTTGTATAGTTTGAAGTGCAGTGCTTGCATCCAGCAACAGGGGAGCTGATGCGTTATCTACAGGCAGAAAGGAACTTGCTTGTCTAGTCAGTGTTCCATGGGTCCAAATATTAACAAGCAATAATTCTTAGAACTGAAGAATTTTTGAATAGAGAGAGAGTACAAGGGTATATACATAAGAGTGTTGAACCCTCTAAGAGGCGACCCTATACAGTCTATACAAACATGAGTTATACTTATGTTTGACACACCCCCTAGACTGCATAGGGGAATGACCTGAACAAGCAGCTCGGGGCGGCACTACTAGTCCAACCTCTGAGACAAGGGTCTAAAAGACCAGTCAGACGGAGTTGAGACAAGGCAAGAACAAGACCAGGGCGGCACTACTAGTCCAGCCATTGGGAGAGGACACAAGTCCAGTCTGAGTATGCATATAAAGGACAGTACAAAGTCAAGGCCCTAGCAAGTGAGAGGCTACAGGAACTAGACCGAGCTGTACGCAGTGCCGCTGATGATCTTTAGGCGCAAGCACCTTCGTAAAGATATCAGCTGTGTTGGCACCTGAGGCCAAGTGTACTACGCGAGCCTGGCGTCGCTGCTGTAGCTCGCGCAGGAGGAAGTATCGCAGCTGAATATGCTTTGCTCTGCCCTCGAGTCGAGGCTCCTGACAAAGGAGGATCATGGCCCTGTTGTTAGCGAACAGGACCGGGGTAGAGCTAGGCCGCTCACCTAAGTCAGTGAGCAAGAAGGTCAGCCAGCGGACATCTCAGCCTCACAGCTGGACTGCGCAACAGAGGAGGAGCGGGTAGCTCTCCACGAGACGGCACCTGAGCCAAGGCTGAAGCAGTAGCCCTGGGTAGACCTGAGTGTCTCGGCATCGTCTGCCCACGAAGCGTCTGTGTGTCCAGTAAGGACCACTGGCCTGCGTCCTCCTAGCACTAACCCCATGCCCGATGTACTAGCAAGATAACGCAAAACCCTCTTAGCGGCAGACCAGTGCTGCGGTCGGTGTCTGCCTGTGGCCACAAAGCGAGCCAGGATGCTGAGAGGGTACGCGAGATCTGGGCGAGTGCAAGTCATCAGGTACATGAGGCAACCCACCAGCTCTGCGTAGGGGCCGCTGGGCTCTACCGACTCCTCAGACACTGGAGCAGAGAGTCTGTGGTCTACAGGCAGAGGGGTGGGCTGTGCAGAGGAGAACTGAAGGCTGAACCTCTGAAGGACCTGGCGCACCAAGTGTGACTGAGTCAGGGTGATGGTGCGCGCTGCTCTGTCCCTGGAGATCTGCAAGCCAAGGTAACGGCGCAGTTCTCCAAGGTCAGTGCACGTGTGTCTCTTCAGCAGCTCTGCCTTCACGGAGGCCAGTGCGTCCCTGTCAGCTGTGGCAAAGACCAGGTCGTCGACGTAAACAAGGATGTAGAACGGAGTCTGGCCAGCACGAACGAAGAGTGAGGGGTCTGCGGAAGCCGGAAAGAACTGCAGGTCAGCAAGCGTAGCACGGAGAGTGTCGTGCCACTCACGGGGAGCCTGGCGCAGGCCGTAGACAGGGCGCCGCAGGAGCCACTGGGTCCCAGGAGGGAAGGTGCCAGTAAAGCCCTGAGGGCGACGCAAGTAGACCTGCTCGTGTAGGCTGCCCTGAAGGAAGGCAGTGGAGAAGTCGAGGGAGTGAAGCTCGTAGTCACGCTGAGCAGCTAGGTGTAACAGAACCCGAAGAGTAGTCATCTTCGGGGTCGGAGCGAAGGTCTGGAAGAAGTCCACCCCCTCACGCTGACTGAAGCCTCTAGCCACGTAGCGCGCCTTGAACACAGGCGGCTCTCCAGGAGGGCGCTTCACCTTGAAGAGCCAGCGGCCATCGACTACGTTCACCCCAGGCGGGGGAACTGCGTCGACGAAGGTGCCGGTGGATCTCCAAGATGCCATCTCCTGCTCCATGGCAGCTATCCACTGAGAGGCCCAAGGTCCCGAGGTCGCCTCAGCGTAAGTGCGAGGGGTCGGGATGTCGAAAGCGTCTGGGTCACCCTCAGGGACTAGCAACATGGAACAGAGATGGGGAGCAGCCTCGGACAGGAAAGCAAGCTCGAACTGGCGGTCCTCCAGGACGTCACTGCCAAGGGCAGGAGCACCCCCGACGGACGGAGGACAGGCAGGGTCAGAGACCAGAGTTGTGGCGTAGTCAAGGCGGCGGGTAGAGGCGAAGTCAGCGACCGCAGCGACAAGAGCGTCAAGGCACGAGACCGGAACAGACAGGTCGGTAACGAGAGAAGCAAGGACCCGAGGAACAAGAGGACGAGCGGCACGAAGGTAGTCAGACAGCGGGGGGGGTGCAACAACAAGGGAGGACGGAGGAGGCGACGGCAGAAGGGGAGGACGAGACGCGTGGGAACGAAGCAACATATGGTGGGAGCGCAAGACAGGCGAGGCAGGACGAGCACGGGAGGGACGGTGAGACCAGACGTGCGACGGAGGAGTCGGGTCAGGAGATAGGGGTGGGGACACAGGAAAGGAATGAGGGGGGAGACGGGCCGGGGACGAGTCCGGCGGAGGGAAAACAGGGCCGTAGACAGGAAGAGGAGGAGACGGTCGGGGAGGAACAGACGCAGGGTTGGGGGACGGAAGGTCCAGCAGGCGAAGGGCTGACACTGGCGGGGACTGCTGCTGCGGCGGCACAACGGCGACACCTGGACCGCAAGCTGCTCCTCGGCTACCACCGGCACACTCCACACCAACACCCCCAGAGGGACCACCCCCAAGGCGACCAGGACGAGCACCCCCAGAGTCAGCGAACGGGTGCTGCGATGGCGGCGGCAGCGACAACGACGGCTGCAGCGGCGGCAGAGGCGGTGGAGGAGGGGACTGGGGAGGGGACGCCGGGGGAGGGGCGGTCGGCGAGGACTGCGCAGCAGGGCCACCAGAGTCAGAAGACTCCTCAACCGGGTCCACCGACGGAAGGGGGGTGACGTGGGACACACCAGAGGGGGCAGGACGGGGAGGAGGAGGGGGAGGGGCAGGGACTACCGGGGAAGGAGTGACCAGGAACAGGGGGGAGGTAACCGGGGGACCGCGGTGGGGGAAGCGACGGTAGTAGGAGACGGACTCGTCAAAGGTGACGTCGCGAGAGTGAAAGAAGCGGTGAGACGGTGGGTGGTAAAAGTGCCAGTCAGACGCGTCAAGGGGAAAGCCGAGGAAGACGCAGGGAAGGGTGCGGGTAGTGAGCTTGTCCGTGCCGGAGGCACGGACGTGAGCAAGGCAGCCCCAGACGTGGAACGCAGACGCGTCACCAGGAGACCCAGTCCAAAGACGGGTCGGCGAAACCTGCGGCTGCTGAGGGTGCGGCCACAGGTTAAGCTGGTGAGAAGCGTAGCGCACAGCGAACGGCCACAGAAAATGGGGTGCACCGGCATGGATCATGGAGGTGCAAGCCACCTCCATGACCAAACCGATGCGTCGCTCAGCGACCCCATTCTGCTGTGGGGAGTCCGGTAGGGTGAACGTCTGGGAGATGCCCTCCGCACGACAAAAGCGACCAAGGACACCTGAGGCAAACTCGCCACCACGGTCGGAGTGAAGACGCAAGACAGGGAGACCGCGGTGGACACGCGCAGAGACAAGCCAGGGGATGAGAGCGTCAGGTACGTCGGCCTTGCGCTCCAGGGGAAAGACTGTGGTGTAACGAGTGAAGTCGTCGACAAGCACAAGGAAGTAGCGCTCGCGACGCGGCCCAGGGACGGGGGCGGGGCCCCAGACGTCCAGGTGCAGGGTCTGCAGCGGCGCGGCGGTAGGGGGAAACGAGGAGGAGTGAGGGGCACGGCGAAGCCGACCCTCGACACAAGGCGTGCAAGGTGGGGCTGGGGAGGAGGGAAACGCGGGGAGAGAACCTGGGAGACCAAGGACAAGACCGTGCTGGGACATGTGACGCAGACGCGGGAGCGCAGGGTGACCTAGGCGGTGGTGCCAAAGGAGAGTCGGGTGAGTGAGGGACCGACAGGAGCAGGCAGCAGCAACCTGGGTAGACGCAGCCACCTGAGGGAGCGCCCCAGCCGGGGGGGTCACGGTGTCCAGAGTGAACAGGCCGGACACCGGGTCCCGGGGGAACGTGGACAGGGGGGCACCCTTGGCAGCCTCGGTACAGACAGCATACCGCTCGTGACCAGGGAACGTAGTGGTGACGCCAAGGTCCTGGAGGCAGCCGACACCAACTAGGTTCCTGGAGAACGAGAGGATATGCAGACCTGTGAGAGTGCCCGAAGGAACCGTCGGACAGGGAAGGGTGGTGGAACTGCGGGCCTCCAGGACGTCACTGCCAAGGGCAGGAGGCTCTGATACCATCTTAGAACTGAAGAATTTTTTAATAGAGAGAGAGTACAAGGGTATATACCTAAGAGTGTTGTACCCTCTAAGAGGCGACCCTATACAGTCTATACAAACATGAGTTATACTTATGTTTGACAATGATGTCCGTGTAAAATGCACAGCACAAACCCAGTAACAGTTCTGCTACCGTAACCGTATCAAAGCAGAATCAGGGCGGATTACAACGAAGTTGGATCCAGCGAAGTTGGTACAGTGCAGTGCAATTGTCGAAAATCTGCAATCAGTGCGGTTTGGTTAGGTAGTGCGCGAAACTAGATCCAACTTTGCCAGATCCCACTTTGTAGGAATCCGCCCTCACACAATCCAAAACCGCTGCTGCCACTGAAACATGCCTTATCTTGCTTGCAAATGCAGCACAATTCCAATGAATTACAACCACAATACTCTTGCAGGCAATGGAATCAGACCCTACTGCTGCAGCAATACCATACAGCACAAACCAATACCGGTAATACTACTGTACATTATATATCTGGACCCCTCTTGGCCGCTAGGGGTGCTAGCGCTGCCCCTAGCGTTACACCCGGACATCACTGTGAGGTGGGGGACCGCCGCCCGGAAAAGCATGGCCCAAACAAGGCAGGGGACCGGAGTCCCCACAACAATCGGCAGGGACCATGTTCGAGACCACTGGCCGCGAGGTTTAGAGCGTGTTCCTACGAGGCTCTTCCCAGGCAACCTCTTCCCAGACTCATGCGCGACCGTGAGAGCGTGTTCCCAGGACCCCTTTTTGGAATAATCCCGTGTCATATTTGCGTTCCAACGCTC